TGCAAGGGAGTCAAGGCCTGCTCCACCTGGACTGTCCCCCTACCTTGTTTTTACAAATTGTTATCAATCGCATTAGTTCTTTAAAACCTTGGGTATCTTGGCAGAAAGGTAGTAAATAAATTCAGTGAATAAATAATAATTAAAAGATAGACTGTCATAGCAGTCATCATCCTGTAAATGCACTGGAGAGGAAGGATGTTGTCCTTTGGTGTCTCCAGATGTCAACAATCCAAGATCTTGTCTTGGTCTCGTCTGCACAATGAAAGCAGCAGCCAGTCCCTTTATCAGGGTACCTCTCACTTCCCAAGGAGGCCTGTCTGTGCTTGAAAACAGAGTCGGTCCTTCAAGCAGCCAGGAGGGCTCCGTGGCTCTTGCCCAGTTCTCGGCTGACCTCTGTGGCTTTCAATTAGGTGGCTGGATATTTATGAAACTCTCAGCGGCCGAGGGAAGATTCCTCACCGGCTGGCTTAATGGGCTGCCTGCTCCTTGCTGCCACGCAGCGCAGGGCTAGCAGTCCAATCTATTCTGTAATCACGTTCAGCTGCCAGCGCAGTGGCTGAGGCTGGCAGCGCATTCTATTAAGAGGTGCCACTTTTGCTGAGAGAGAGAGCGGGTTTTATGTTACCATAAATTGTCAACAGTTGGTCCTGTGCCTGTGGAGGAAGGATCGATACCCAGCAGAGGGAGAAAGTGCTGAGAAAGGGGAAGAGAGAGATGCTAATTAGGCCAGGATTTAAGAGTCCAGGGGTGCAAGTGACAGCACTTAAACAGGGGATAAATTATGGGAAGCCTCTGCCCTTCAGGCTGGGTGTACTCAATCACAAACACAAACAACATAGAGGCACCACAGGAGGGTGGTAGGAGAGCACACAGAGCGCCACCGAAGTCAGAGACAGGGCTAGCATGTCCCTACACTAGAGCACAAAGCAGCCCTCTCTCTGGGAGAGAAGGAAAAGGTGAGCTCAGGTAAACAGGGGAGGCTGTTCGCAGGAATGGAAGCGGGGACAAGTTGCAGCACCCCCTGGAAGTCATCAGGTAGCTTATTCACACATGCATGGCCATCACCGAGCGATTCACACAGCACCCAAGGGTGCATGTGCTTCCTGGAGAGGTTTGTTGTGCAGGGAACCCCCAAAGGCCAGTTAGAGCAATAGTTGGGGGCCTCCATCAATCTCTCAGGAAACAGCAGTTATGGGATGAGACGAGGCGCTATAAAAGGCTGCTGCAGGGCCAGAGGCAAGGAGTTCTCCCCGGGGGGCTGGTGGTGGTCATCAGCATCTCAATATAGCTGCTGCCATGGACTTTGGACCTCCAGCTACCCCCAGGAGAAAAAGAAGAGAGAAGATTCTCAAGAATTTTGCTCCTAAAGACAGCCTCTGTCAACAGGCTGCCCTCCAGACTTCTCCTGGACCCCTGAGGCGGGTGGCTGATGGGAACGTTCGACAAGAACCTGGGAGACACCAAGGTTTGAATCCCCCACTCATCCACAAAGCTTCCTGGTTGGCCTTGGGCCAGTCACTGCCTCTCAGCCAAACCTACCTCACAGGGTTGTTGTGGGAATTAAAGGAGAGCCATGTTTACCACCTTGAGCTCCTTGGAGGGAAAGGTGGGGTGTAAATGCAATAAATAAACAGATAAAGGAATTTGGAGAGCACCCAGAGGGTGAAGACGGTTCAAATCTAAAGTCCTGGAAGCCACCCCAGAGACAAAGGAAGAGGAGGGTTATACAGTGGCACCTCGGGTTGCAGACGCTTCGGGTTACAGACTCCACTAACCCAGAAATAGTACCTCAGGTTAAGAACTTTGCTTCAGGATGAGAACAGAAATCGCGCGGCGGTGACTTGGCGGCAGTGGGAGACCCCATTAGCTAAAGTGATACCTCAGGTTAAGAACAGTTTCAGGTTAAGAATGGACCTCCAGAATGAATTAAGTTCTTAACCCGAGGTACCACTGTACAGCATTCATACAACATACAGAGAACCAAAGCTCACCCAGTGCCAGCAACCCTCTGCTCTAAGGATACATCACCCCCCACCCCGACTTCATGTTATTTGACAGCAATGCTCCCCCTACTGCTGGAGCCTGCAGTAGCTTGCCCACCCAGCTGCCTCCCGGCTCTTAACCTCCTCCAATGACCTAGATTTGATCCTCCCCACCCCACATCTCCCACACAAACACACACACACCCCCTTCCTCTGAGAGCCAATGCCAGTCCAGGAGACAATGCAATCAGGAAGAGAGATCCAGGGTCTCCATAGCTCACATGGGACTCTCTCCCCACACCCTCTGCCGCCCCGCCGCCTCTCCTTCCAGCAGCTCCTGATCCAATAAGGAGCTATAAAAAAAAAAGACCCTACCAGAATTGGAAAAATATTGGCCAATATAATAAACAATAAAACTGTATTAGCTCTAATTTGGCATTGCCCCAGGCAGTATTAATATAGCTATAACCCAATCACTTATAAATAAATGATGGCCTTGCACTTTAATATGACATCTGTCCCGGCAATTTCCATATGTGGCATAAAATAATTATGAGCTTGGAAATGAAATCAAAACAGGAAGAGGTTTGCCCCGCTCTGTGGCTGCAGCCAAGGTGAAGGGAAGGGGCAAGCGGCAGCAGACGGCGGCCAGCTTAGTCCAAATGCCAGCTCTGGAAATGTATATCTGCATGCCAGGAGTGCCAACCTCTGGGGGCTCTTTGGGATTTTTGATTAAGTCCCGTGGGAGTCACCCCCTCTGGTCCTTTCTTGTCTCCCTGCCCCAATCCAAGAGACTTGTATCCAGCTCTAGGCATCACAGTTTGAGGAGGATATTGACAAGCTGAACAAGGTGTGCAGAGGAGGATGACCAAGATGATCAAGGGTCTGGGAACCAAGCATGATGGGCAACGGTTGAAGGAGTTGGGGTGTTTAGACTGGAGAAGACTGAGAGGTGGTATGAGAGCCATCTTCAAATATCTGAAGGGCTGTCATGTGGAGGGTGGTGACAAAGCTTTTTTTCTGCTGCTCCAGATGGACCCAATCCCATGGATTCAAATGACAGGAAAGGAGATCCCAACAAAGCATCGGGAAGAGGTTTTTAAACAGAGGTTGGATGGCCATCTGCCAGGGATTCTTAGGTGCGATTCCTGCACTGCTGGGGGTTGGGGGAGTCCTTTCTAGCGCTACGGTTCTGTTTCTAAGACAGAAAGTCTGCACACTTTGCTTTTCCAAGAGTTCAGATCCAGTAAAAGTAGTTTGAGCCTTGAAAACCCAAAGGGGTTGAAAGAGGAAACGGGAAGGAGGGTTACTCTCATCTATGTACTTTTCAGGAGAGAGGAAGCTGCCCACCCTCACCCACTGCGATGGCCAATGGATCAGTGGAAGGGGGGGCTCAGGGTCTGTGCTCTATATTAATCATATACCTGGAGAAGAGGATGCCGTGGTAATTTCCTGCCCTGGACACCAGAACACATCAGCAGCATCCTTAATGTAACATTTGTACCCTGGCCTATGTAACAGCAGTAAAGAAATAACATGGCAGCCTCTTTTTCTCCCCTAATTAATATGCAGCACAGTCACCCCAAATGCTCCTTCTGGTTGAAATCAAAAGATGGGCCAGAGTAATATATCCACATCTTCTGTTCATTCCAAGCAGACAGCATCTCACAGCTTAGATTATTCTCCCACTTCACTGCCCTAAAGCCACCCCTTTACTTGCCTTGCCTTCACTCCTGGCTTGACTCAGAAGCCAGCACAGAACTTGTTCATTCACTACCATCACAAGGCTGGATACAGATTCAGACAACGGTGGGCCCTTGGGACCACCTATGAAACCTGCAAGATGGCCTTCAGCAATCTGGTGCCCTCCAGATGTTTTGGACATGTCCCATTCGCCCCATATGCTGGGCTTGCACAGGGTACCACAAGGAGGATACTGCTGGAGGTAGATTTTTGGGGTGGGATAAAAGCACTGCAGAGCTCACTGAGCTTAGAAAAGGAAGTGTGTCCCATAACAAGTTCTTGCCCGCTGTGGGTGGGCGCTATGGTTTGCATGGACTCCACTGCATGCCTGTGTGGTGCAGCAGTCAAGGGTGTTGGACGAGGGACCTGGGATACCAGGGTTTGAATCTCCACTTGGCCATGAAGCTCTCTGGGTGACCTTGAAGGCCAGTCACTTCGCAGTCTACCTCACAGGGTTGTTGCAAGGATAAAATGTATGCCACCTTGAGCTCCTTGAAGAAAAAGGTGCAATATAAATGTAAAAAAAAAGATAATATCCAGCCCCATCCCACACTGCACACCAGGCCAGGCACACCAGGAAAGGTCTTTCTGGGAAGATGCTTGGAAAGCTACGAGTCAGGGATTTGTTAGCTGCGATTCCTGCATTGTAGGGGGTTCAATTAGGTGACCCTTTCAGCTCTACAATTCTATGATTCTATGAGTGGATGCACCAGTTGGCAGCTCCTTCTATTGGCAGGCAAGTGGGCCCCACTCAGACCTCTTCTTGCATTATTCCCTCAACTCGTCCTAAACTGTGGCTCTCCATTCATTGTTGGACTTTGATTCCCATCAGCTACAGCCAGCTCTGGCTCAGAGTACAATTCCTGGCCTAGTAGACAGCCAGCTAGCCAGCCAACACTCCATCTCTAGTGGTGGCACAAAGGCATAAGCGCCATCTGGTGGCAAGGAAGAGGCTCAGGCTTAAGAGAACCATAGAAATGGCGTGATTGTTTAAAGTGTTTACCAACATGTCTCCCCACCCACCTTGGCTACCCCCCCAAATATACCACACACAGTGGGGTTCCCCAGCTGGTGCCTCCCACCACTCCTCTGCATTCATGACATCCCAGCAGTCTCAGTCCCTTGTGTCTCCAGTGATACCCAGCCTGAAACCCTGGAGAGCCACTGTTACCCATCAGTGCAGACCAGATGGGCCAGCGGTCTGATATGGCAGCCTGCTCTGCTCAGAGAGAAGGTGCTACAAAATCTGGTGGAGAAAAAAACACATTCAGGCAATGCCCTGTAATAAATTTATTGTACTTTATTACATTTTCCCACTTTTAAATCATCCAATACCTTGTATCCAAACTCTTCTTCCTGACAGGAAATGATTTTTTAAAACATAAAAATATAAATTCTGCATATTAAAAGTGCATACAAATAAATAAAAGGCATTGACACAGTCTCATGCACTTGCCGTCAAATAAGTTAAAACCCTCTTATGGTACATAGTAATGGTTCCACCCCAAGAAGAGACACAGCCTCCCTCCCAGAGTACTGTACAGTTTTTAAAAAAACTTAGAAATTCTTGATAGGAATAAGGGGGTGAGAGAGAAAGAGAGAGAGAGAGGAGGAAGGAAGCATCCTGTGATGTAACATGCAACTCCAGCTGTCAGACAGGAAAGCGTGTCCAGTGTTTGAGGCTCACAGTTTTTGGAATGGCACTGAAGACTCAGTTTTAGCCAAAGGTGAGACGAGGCACGACTGGTGAGCAGCAGCCGAGGAAATGAATTCTCTGGATACCACTTCCAGTTCTGGGGGCCCAGGATGCAAATGCAGCAAGTGCCACATTTAGTTTAATAATAAAAAAAAGAAGTTAGAAAAGGCAAGAGGGAAGACTTTCCAAATTGCCTCTTGCAACCAGCCCCCATGTGCTGTGTTGCAGAGAATTCATTTTGGGCCCAATCAAACCATTTCAGCACCCAGCATTCAAATCAGGTTGGCTTAATGCTTGTAAAAAGGAAAAAAAAGTGGGTGTTGGAATTTACATTTCATCCTTCATTCTGTCAAATCCAACCCCCTGCATGCTAATGGATTTTTGGTTTGTTTTTTTTACCTTTTTTAATAATTAAGGAAAGCCATGTAGTACTTCCATCTCACCGCAGATTAGAACTAAATTTCAGTTGCTTCTGCAGATAATGTTGGACCCCTGACAAGTTGCTGCGGATTAACAGGCAAATGACAGCAAAGCCAAAAAGAGGATTGCCCTTAACATGATTTGAACTGGCATTTCAAAACAAAAACGCTTCCTTGACTGCTGATGAGAGCTTCCAGAATGGTGGAAAAACCTCCTCCTCTTTCCCTTGCTCCCCTTCCTCCTCCTGTGCAGGAGCTGCCTGGGAGCTGTGGGTGGTGCCGATTTAAGGAGCAACGCCTCTCTTTGCAACAAAGCTCCGTGGGGCCTCATTCCCAGAAACCAGAGGAGGTTCCTCTCAGACCTTCCCAGCTCTGCAGCCAGCTCTTCCTTGCACCAACACGAAACTAAGGGGGACTGGAGAGTCCTGCTTTGCCACCACGCACACACCCAAAAAGCTGGCTCCAGAGAAGCTGTGTTATGGTGGGGAAGGAGCCCTTCTGCCATCACAGATATCTGCTCCTTAAAGAGGCTGCCAGCTGCTAGCAGCATCCCTCAAATGGCTGGGAGCCCCTTTGAAAACAGCAGGTTGCTCACATCTGGAAACAAAAATGCACCCTCAGAAAGAACAGGGAGAAATCACCTGCAACCTTTTAAATACTCCAAGGTAACTTCCGTACCCCCTCCCCAAAAACATCAGTAAACAAAAGAGCTGTACGAAGGAGAGGGTTGTGGGTGCCAGAAACTGGGACCCTTCGGCCCTCAGGCTGCTCCAGGGGTGGGCTGAGAGCTCCAGTCCAAGCTTAGGTGGGCATCAGTTGGGCAGCAGCAGTGACAGGGGCAGCCTGGTTTAGCTTAGCTTTAGCTGCTTGCATAGTTAACATGGTCATGCGTGAGCGGGGGGGGCAAAGGGAAGGGCCATGCATGTTACCTTCATTGTGGGCTTTTTGGGGAGTGGGGCAAGAGAGATAAGTGGTCAACCATGCTAAAGAAATTCAGCACTGCCAAGCAGAGAAGAGCCTACAAAACTAGGTTAAATGTGTCTGGAACATGGAGGTTCACTCTCTACCTAAAATGATTAGTCCAACTCAGTCGCATTGAGCCATAGATACATCTGAAAAGACAGAAGCTAAAAGTGAGGTGCTTTGCCATGGCTACAAAGAGTGGCTGTTGGCACCATCTCGCCCACCAAGTACAAGCAACATGAAGTCCAAGGTGCCTCTATAATACAATCCCTTGGATATGTGCTTAGAATGTGCATACTAATTATAAACACTCTCCAAAAATCTAGCCCCAAAGGATGGGAAGCCTTCTGAGATGCAGAACTCAACCTTCCTGCAACTAGAAGGGTGACTAGGTGTCATTCATGGAATTAGGAAGAAACAGGCTTTCGGGCCATTTGAATGGAGCTGGGTGTGCAGGGGAGGCAGGGAGGGGGGCTCAATTTCCTCCCTATTCAGGGGAGCCTTGAATTAGTTACTCCACCAACCCCTACTCCCAAAGAGAACTGCAGAGCTGCATGTCAGGAGAGGCCTAAATTTAATCCCACGGTCCTCCTGGATCTAAAGCCAAGGGAGATGAAATTGTGTCCTTTCTTAAAAAAGAAGAGACAGCGCTAAGGGCCTAGAAGTCTGCTGAAGATCAGAGAGTCGCAGCTCTTCCTAAATGAGGGGAGATCTGCTGGCCAATGAAAAACTGGCAACCAGCCCAACACAAGGAAGTGGCCCAGGCCAAAGGAACAAAAAGGAAACCCCACAAAGGAACAAAAAGGAAACCCCACAAAGCTTAGCAAGGTCCCTTTGACAAAAGGGCAATGAAAGCAATCGCTCACCCCCACACGTACCACTAAACACACACACTGCCAGTGGGGCAGGAGAAGGGGTCAAGGTCCATATCCCAGCAGCAGCGCCATATTCACCAAGGCTGGCCTAAGGCATCCGGTGCCCATCATGTTTTATGGGACATGCTGAGGTCACCCCCCAAGACAGTCCTTTCTCCAGGAACCAGACATTTTTCTTCTAACTGTAGTGCCTCACTACTTGAGAAAGAGGAACATCTAAAAGCAAAGGGGGTGAGCTTGGCAACCTAAGAGCTGAGCACACAAAAGCTCCTGTTTTAACCTACAGGTGGGCACAAGGGTTGGGGGCAGTGTGAGGAGGAGATGTGTTGTTGCCCCATAGCAGCCAAACTGCAGGCAGTGTGAGGAGGGGTTTTGCCAGGTGTCAGTTCCCATGGGGCTGCAGCCTACCTGTTCACAGCTCAGCAACTGGAAACACAACCCAGGTATAAGACGAATGCCTTACCTGCCACCTTTCAAGGCTGCCCGTGGCACTCAGAAGCAGACCCAAAGACCCAAGATCCTTTGTTCCTAGGTGAGGAGGAGGAGATGATAACCTGGCTGTGCAGTAGGATCTACCACTTAGGGCCATGGCAGTGTCAGCCCCAGCTGAACAAAGACAAGCCCAAGGCAGTGCAAAGGGAATAATAAACCATGGAAGGAGCTGCTGCATTCAGGAGCTGAAGTCTTGTTAACTAAACCTTCAAACAGGCAGAGGCTTCATGCCTCAATGAGATGACATGGCCAAGGGAAGGAACCCATCTGCTGCCCGGCATTAAAAAAGACAAAAGGCACAGCTTGTCAGCGACGCCTCTGCAAAGTTCCCTGCTCAAGCCGAAGGCTGCAGGAGGCAAGCAGGCTGCCAACTCGGGCTGAAGCAGATGTGGGGAACCTCTGGGCCTTCAGAAACTGCTGAACTACAACTTCCATCACCCCAGCTGTTCAGTCATACTTGCTAGGGGCTGAAGGGAGTTGTAGCTCAGCATAATCTGGAAAGCCAAAGGTTCCCCACACCTGTGCCAAAAGAAATGGCAACAAGCAGGTGGGCACTGTAAGCTTAAAATCCACTGAAAGATCATGGGAATAAGAGCAATGAGCCAAGGGAGGGAAGAGTGCATGGAGGGAGTCATTGTACAGTTTGCCTAACAGTGAGGCACAAAGGTGCCCCCCTCCCAAGGCTTCAGAGTGGCCATTCATTGCCAAAGCCACATGGCAGATGAGGAGCAAGAAGAGTCAGGACCAAAGGATTTGAGGAAGGGCAGCAGGAGCCTAGTTCCAGCTAGGACTTACAAAAGCTTAAATGCCTCCTTCCTCCAGCATGGAGTGCAGCAACAACTGATCCACAGCTCCATAAAAAGAATGTGTGTGTGTGCAGTCAAGCATTCTTCCATGCGGACTACAGAATATGCTCATCACACACACACAACCTCCTTCCACCTAACCTGTGATGCGACGATTGCTGCAGGGCAGGAGGTCAGACTAAAAGACCCTTTGGGTCCATTCCAATTCTACAATTCTACAATTCCATGAACCACCCTCTTCCACTCTGCAGAAGTTCCAGGCCCAACCTGCTGATTTCCAGGCTGCCAACTGGTCCCTCCCTCTTTCGAGAAGACACCTCTGAACAGATAAGAGTCAAGCAGGACAGACTTTTTTAAAAAATGAAAATTCCAAACATACAGAAATCTGCTGGAATGGAAAAATAAATCAGAAACAGACAGACACACTTAAAAGCAGACTTCTCTGACGTACACACATACACCCCTCTATGAGAGAGAATGCACCTTTCCCTCCAGAATCTTCTGTTCCCTCCAGTACTGGCTGAGCGCTTACCTGAGAAATAACATTAGCGTTGAAATATTGCCCTTTAAGAAGCTTGGGAAATGGGGTGCTGGGGGGGGGCAGAAGGCGGGGGAGGAGACATGGCCTGGGGAGGAGGGACACACAGCAGAACAGGATGATCGTCTTGCTTTTCACGGTTTCCCTTTGCAGCTCACAGAGCAAGGCTTCAGCCTGCTCAGTGACACACACACACTGCAAGGGACAGAAGCGGTAGCTTTGCAACATGGACACAGCTGGCCATTGACATAATCCAGAGTCCCTCTTCAGAGAGAAAAGTGGTAAGGCTCCCCAAGAAGGCTTCTGTGCAGACTGCAGTTCTGCTGTGGGGTTGAGGCAGAGGGAAGAGAGAAGATGATGACAATGTCCTTTGGCGAGCACCCCCCCTCCCCACAAGCCCGCTACAAAATACCAGCGGCAGCCTGTAGTTATTTGGTACGATGGCGGAGTCGAAAGGCGCTTGAACAGTAGTCAAGTTTTCTTCAAACACGTTAGGCACATGAACAAAAAGAAGCAAAGGAGGAAACCAACCCAATTGGATTGCAGGAGGAGGAGGAGGAAGAGCAGCAGCAGTAGCAGCAGCAGCAGCCAATCACTGAGATTTCGAAGAGGCTGGCGGCGGCCGTGCAGAGGAGGGCATGCTGGGAGGAAGTTTGCGCAAGGCCTTGTCGGCTGCCTGCTTGCCACTGCTGGGCGACTGCGGGGGGTTGGCCTCCAGCTGGGAAGACTTGGATTTGCGGTTCGTGAGCAGCGAGTGTTTGGCAGGAGAGGGGTTGTCTTTTGCAGAAGCCGGGGTGGCGTTCGAGGGGAGGGCATTCGGAGGCTGGGAGAGGCTGCCGCTGCCGCCACCACCACCACCACCACCACTCTTCTCCAGCTTCTCCTCAAGCAAGTTCTTGCTGGCAGCTTTGGAGGAGCTGCTCGCCATCTTTTTCGACAGCATGGTGGTCTTGCCTAGGTCGGCCGACCTCCGGCTTTCCTTCTGGCGCAGGGCAGACTTGAAGAAAGAAAGTCCCTTTTCTTCCGACTTGCTGTCCCTCCTCAGGCTGGCACGGGGGGCGCCTGTGGTGGGCGAACGGAGACTGGCCATGGAGGAGCTGCGCACGTGCTTGCTGTCCGGCCTCCTGCCCTCGCTCCGCGACTGGCTGATCCGCGGAGAGCCCGTCCGCGAACCGGTGGTAACGCCAGCCTTGTCTGAGCTGAGGCTGAGCTTGGAGCCCTCCCTGCTGAGGCTGTGCTCCGAAGTCCTGTTTTTGCTCGTGGGGGTGTTGTGCCCCCGCACGGACGACCCCGAGGAGTTTCTTCTCGTCGCGGTGGAGGAAGAGGAGGAAGCAGGTTTTTGCTTCTGATGCTCAGCAGAGGTGTTACTGGCAGCCTCTTGGCCCTTTGAGCCAGCCTCCTTCCTGCCCTGCCCAGAGGGGGCAGGAGAGCCGTGCCGCCCACTAGCCCGGCCAGAGTTCAGCTTGCTCCTGGTCCGGGACCCCTTCGGCAAACTCTTGGAGGGAAGGAGCGGGGCTGCCGGTTGGCAGGACACTGGGGAATCTGTCCTGCCTTTCCTGGAGCTTCTGTCTGACTCCAATGTGTCTTTGGGGTGGGCTGCCTTTTGGGGGCTGCTGTCTGCCTTGGACATTCCACTGAAGCTTCTCCCCTCCTTGACTGGAGAGCTCTCAACAGAATCACTCTGGTCAACAAAAGCGATCTGGTTGTTGTTATCGAAAGGATCCAGGGCGGGGCAGTTCCTGTCTGCCTGCGACAGAGTCTTGCTGTAGGAGTCCGTGCCCGAGCCTGGCTTTCGCCCGGGCACTTCGTCTCTGAAGACGCCCTCCATGACTGCCAGGGGAGCTCTGCCTGCCGTGGGGTGCTCCTGCCGGCCGCTGCTCTCGCTGGACTCAATGTGGCTTCCAGAGAGACTCCTCAGGCTGCTAAAGCATGAGGTGGAGACTTTGTCGTCCGCAGACTCCCCAATCCTCTCAAGGGTGGAAGCCGAGCTGTGAACCGGAGAGTCCCCAGAGAAGCGGGAAGGCGAGCTGGAGCGCATCTGCAGCTTCGCTGACAGCGACCACGAGGGGCGGATCCCGTTCTCGCTCACGGCCAAGGGGCTGGTCACGGAGGACCTGGAAGACAGGCTCTGGCGCTGGACACTCCTCACAAAGGGGCGGGTGGAAAAGCCACCTGTGGAGCACAGAGGAACATGGTAGCCAAATACACAAACAGAGCATGGACACATGCACAAGCAAGGAAGCCATCCTAAAACGCATTTCACTGATTCCCGCCCCCCCCCCCCGTGCTTTTATAATTGCTTTCATACATTGAGTTTCTGTGGCTCTGTCTATTTCATACAAGAAGCTACAATGCGTTTGTTTCGGGAGCACATTTCATTCTCCGATGTTTTAATTTGCATACTGTGTTTTGTCACAAGCTGCTTTGCAACCCAGATGCAGTGAACAGCAGAGTGCACATTTTAAAACAAATGAAACACACACACACACACACACACACACACACACACCTCCCGCTCTGGAAACTGTGCCAACATGGTAACTTCCTTGCCAACCTATCAAAGCTCTTTCATGGGCTGAGAAATCAGGAGACCCTCCCCTGAAGGACATCCTGCTGCCAGGGGACAACTGAGGGTGGCAGCAGCAGCCAAAGCAATTCTCAGAAGGTAAAACATCAATCTAGAGTAAGTTCCTCCCGTCTGTGTACTGAATACCAAGGGCCCAATGCAGCATCCATAATTCAGAAAAGCAAGAATTCTGTCCACACCTCTTTCATTTGCTGGCAGGAGACAGATGTGCTAGCACAAAGGTCACAGGAAACTTCCCCACTAGCCTCTGAGGAACGGTGCTGGGAAGCTGTTCATTCTGCAGGAGACATTCTCATTGCTCTCCCAGCTTTGAGCAGAACACTACAAGGCCAAGGATGACCCAGGGGTAGAAGCTAGAGAAAGGGAAACTCCTCAGAAGAGGATACCTGCTCCCATCAGACATCAGAGGACAGACATACCTAGCGCATGCCAGCACTGAGATGTGGAGAGAAAGAAGGCAGTGAAGACGATGGCCTGAAAATACCAGCAACATCCCTTTCTCCCTGGTTTCTGCTCATTTTCTGGAGGAAGGAATTCCCTGTTGCTGCTGGTTTTTCTGCCTCAGCACCCCTCTTCACAGTCCCTCGGGCAAAGCTGGTGACCCTCAGGGTGGCTGAGCTGCAGAGGAGGAATCCAGTGCTCTGCAAGGGCTCCCCTGCCATCAACATTCAAAGTGAGGTGTGGCAGAGCCACTCACCGTCATCTTCGCTCCTTTCTCCCATGAGCTCCACGGACTCCGAGAGGGAGGCTAGGGAAGTGCGCCGGGAGGAAGCCGCAGAGGCAATGCTGGGTTGCTTGCTGCCTGGGAGTCGACTCACCCAGTGCTCACACAAAGAGGAGCTGGTGGAGCCTGTGGAAGCAGGAGGAAGAAGTGGGTAGCAAGAAGCTTTCCTCTCATCATAACACTAGAACCCATGGGGGTCCTTTAGTCAAGATGAACGTTGGGAGATTCAGTACAAACAAGAGAACAACTTTTTCTTCACACGGCACATAACTAAATTATGGAATTTTCTACCACAGGAGAAAAAGATGGCCACTAACTTGGATGCCTTTAAAGTGGGGATTGGACAAATTCATGGAGGAGAATGAGGCTACCAATATGGCTACTAGTCTCCATAGCTACCTTCAGAACCAGAACCCCAGTTTCCAGCAGCAGGAGAGGACATCTTTCCCTGGTGTCCTCTTGCTCTTGCCTGTGGACCCTTCTCAGGGAAGGCACCTGGTTGGCCACAGTGGGATACAGGTGGGCCCTCTTGGGCCTGGCCCAGTTGCCACCAGGCTCTTCTGGTGTTTCTGTGGAAGCTACAAAACTAGCTGCTACTCCAGGCCATTACCTGCCACAGAGCTGTTGGCCGACCAGGAGGGAATGGCTGTCCGCCTCTGGTAGAAGAGGATGTAAGCCGTCTGCTTGCACACCTCGTTCTCAGCCAGCTGCTGAACCTCACTGTCGTCAAAGCAGTACCACAGGCCATCGATGGAGTTCTTGCAATAGGCTGCGAGAGAAGGTGCCAGAGTTAGTTAGGGGGGAGGTGAGCACGAGGGAGCCCTGCTGGGCCAGCAGCCGGAACATGCCGGGGTCTCTGTTGCCCAGTCATGGCTCTCTTAAGACCCCACCACCCCCCAAAAAATAGGAAAGAATTAAACTGCTAGACTGTGCTGAGGGCTGGGGGGGGCAGCATGTTTTGCCCCCTAAGGCCACCATGTAAAAAGACCCTTAAGGAAGTGCACCACCACTACGAGAGGGGGGCTGCTGGAGAGGCTCAGCTGAGCAGGCAAAGGCATTCTGAGCCATTGGCCATCTGCCCACTTGTTAACATCCTTGTCAGCAGAGCAAGTCATGGAGGGTGCAAGGCAGGAGCAGCATGGCAGTGAGCAGAGCCCAAACCGGCAGCGCAGCCCAGTCACCTGTGTAGTGCCCGCCCTGCATGGTGCCATGGTGATTGCACACAGCATACAAGTCGTAGACGAAGTCTTCTGGGTCTCTTCCCAGGCCGTAAGGGCGCCTCCAGGGGGACCAGTGAGACGGCAGGCTCCAGCTGCTCTGGCTTCTCTTGACCACATGCGGCGTCATGTCCAGGCCAATCAGAGGGAACCTGACCATGTTCTGAAGCTTCATCCTTCTGTCTCCTTCCTGTTTAAAGGGGAAATGCAGGTTGCAACCAGCACAGAGAAGTGTGGTGCTGGAGGCGCCACATCAGCACCGAGCACACACAACTCCCCTCCAGCCCCAGAGGCTGCTTGGGCAAAGGCAAGAATGAAACCATGCCAAAGAGGAGGAGTTCAGCACCTGCAAGGCTGGCCCTCTTAGTTGATCAGACAGGGCTCTCCTCACAGCGGAGGAAGCCACAATGCCCCTGCATGAAAACAGCCCACATGACTAAGGAATCACTGGGCCACTGCAGTAATCCAAGCAGAGCCCTGGCTCCTGAGTTCCCTCCAGCCCAGCAAGCAAGCCTCCTTTCACCTGTCGAAAGCGCTTCAGGTGAATGATGAGGACGTCAGGCAAAGTCCAAAGGCTCAGCGTGATGCTTCCTTGCTGCAGCTGCTTACAGTGGGGGCAACGCCATGCATCGTCCGGGGCCAGCTAGCAGCAAAGAGAGGAGGGTGCTATTAGACAGATAGGCACACACACACACGCACACGCACACACACACCCCTGGCATATGCCATGAACATCCACTCTTTATAAAGGAAGAAGATAAACATAAGAAATGCTTCTTGCCCTGCATCATAAGACCCCACAGCAACATGTTTAGTTATCGCCTCAATATACTCCATTCTAGTTGTATTCCACAAGTATTCCTATGAGACAACTGTGTGTTTTATACAATGAACAACAGCAGGCAACGCAGCTGTGCCATGACCAGCTCCCAGCCCAACATGTGCCTGCCACACTTTTAGGAGACAAAAAGCCAAAGCAGACCAATCACACATGGAAGAGGCAGCCTTTGAAGGCACACAGAACTACGAGGGTCTCTCTGACCACTCATGACGCAACGAGGGACCTCCTGGCCATATCCAGGAAGGGATATTTGGGGAAGAGCCATAACAGTAGAGCACCTGCTTAGTACACAGATATCCCAGGTTCAATCTCCAGTAGCAGCATCTCCAAAGAAGGCTGGGAGATACCCCTGCCTGAAACCCTGGATAGCTGCTGCTAACCAGCATAGACAATGCCGAGCTGAATGGGTCCAACTCGGTATAAGACTGCTTCCTGTGCTGCTACTGACAGGTCCCTGAATCTCTCACCTGTTCCTCTTTGGTGTAGAGCTGGAAACACTGTGATAAGGTGCAGGACTGAGGCTGGTGGTGGAGCTCCCTCTGCTGGCGGACACTCTCAGCATCCGGGATATATTCATCCTCTGTGTTGACGAACAAACTGCAACAAGGAAATGCAGCATTTAACAATTCCTGTGCTTGCAGGCCGACTAGCAAAACACACAAGTGGGGTGAGGCTGCCTGCCAACCTTCTTGGGAAGCACTCTTGGGCAGGTGACTGGCAGCTTGTAAATTAATCTACTGAGTGTGCAGAAGATAGATCGGAATTTACCGTGAAATCCCCAGGCAATTAGATCAGAAAAGGTTTCTGACTCCACTGTTTAACAATAGCAGCAGCAAAATGACTCCTTACCCCAATTAATACTACATACATGACGAGAACTTGGAGGAACCATGAGTGGATTTGCATGTAGAGAGACTGTGAGTTCTGTTCAGTTCCGCTATGTTGTAAAAACATACAAGCAATAAAAAATTCCTCGCCTCAGAGTTCTATCTTTTGCAGAGGATGCCTTCTGCACTCGGCTCATGTTGAACAAACTCAGGGTTATGGTAAAAGTGCATCCCACAAGCTTTGAGGAATGCCCAGCCCTGTTCTGGGAAGCAACTAAGCACACACATGAGAACCTGCTTAGGCAAACCTAGAGCAGCAGGAAGTCCCTAGAGCAGCAGTCATGTGGGAAAGGGAGTTTCAAACCACAGCCTGCCAGGAGCCCACCCCAAAGTCCCAAATGGAACATGATGCTTACTAGTCTTTTGTCTCCTTGTCCCACTCCACAACCAGCTTCACGTGAGGAGTTCCGCCTTGCCCACATGACTTCAGGGCCCTGCAGAAAACACACCACAATCACTCAAAGTCTTTCAAAAAGCAGCAGTGCGTAAGCTAGTCACAAGCATCTTTCTTTCTCTCTAACTCTCACCCCCATAAAGAACCTGCCAAACCCATCAAGATCCCCCACAACAGGAACCAGCTGAGTTCAGGGGCTTCTCCTTCAGACCAAAGGGTGCCACCTTTACCAGCCTACTAAAGAAGCAATAGCCACTCCATAGGAACAGTTCAAGAGATGACATCACAGGAAAGCTTCCCTCTAGTTTATTCTGCTCCTTCGTGATAGAGCATGAGACTATGAATCGCAGGGTTGTGGGTTTGAGCCCCATGTTGGGCAAAATATCCCTTGGACTAGATGACCCTTCCAACTCTACAATTCTATGGTTCTCTCTCCAGGACAAGCAGCAATCCAGGCAGAAACGGCTTGAGAGCAGCCAGCTTCTAGGAGAAGCGAGGCCTGCAGAAGAGCCCAGAAGCTCCATTGGTGCCTGCTAGACTGAAGCGGCTCTCGGCAGGTGAGATGCCGTCCCCTTCCCCACCCCAGTAAAATAAGCAAATCCATAAGGCCTGAGGCCCCGTATCCTTCACAAACAAGGAAACCACACTCACCGCTCCACCATTAGGTGGCACAGAGGCCTCTCTTCCTGAGGTAACAGGTAAGTTATGCCCACAGCGCTGACCACTCGCAAGCTGAACGGACAAACCTACATGGCAGGGGAAATGAGAAGAGCAGTTGCGAGGGGGAGATGGTGAGGAGAGGACAGGTAGGAAAAGAGACTCCTAGGTGGGCACACAGCTGGCTTTCCCTTTCCCCAACAGGTGTGCCCACCTGCCCTTTGGCACATGCTCCTCCAGTGCAACATGGGCCAGAAAAAACATATCATCAGCCTGGCTCATCCACCCTGAGTGGGGAGTTTTCTCTTCCTCTCTTTGCTCTCCAGCAGATGGAAAGCAAGAGGAGTAGGAACTTCACAAGGCACTACCAGCTGCACTCTTGACAATGAGTTTATTGAGCAGCCAGCAATGTAAGCAGCGATATTGCTATTTACTTAGCACCACAATTAGACTGGCTTTTTACAGCAGCAGCTCTCAAATGCACATACACATGCTGAAAAACAAAGCAAGGTGTAAAGAGGGCCCAGTTCCAGGCAGCCTTACCTGGACACAGGCTGAGGGCCGCAGGTAATACTGCATCTTCTCCAGGATCTCCTTCTGCAGTAGGTCCCAAGGAATCGTCTTCTCCAGATGGAGCACAAAGGGCTGGCCAAATCTGCAGATAAGAGCAAGGCCATGAAGGGACCAGCAGCTCTTGCTGACTCCCACCATTTAAAATTTTATTTACTTAAGGCATTTCTATGCCGCTTAATCGTTAGCATTTCTAAGCAGAGCACATAAAAAATAAACAGCAGAGAATAAAGCAATAGAAGTTAATCAAAGAATTGTATGAAGCCAAACAGAAACCTTAATAAGCCTGCTGGAATAAGAAAGTCTTTGTTCAGCAAAGAGGCTGCCTGTCTAATTTCAGTTGGGAGGGAAGCTATCACCTTTATATTTATTTGTAAACATATGGCCAGAGGAACTATGTACATTTAGCCCAGAGAAAAGGCTCATCCAGGTTTCTGAAGCTCTCTTCAAATCCCTGAAGGGCTGTCATCACACTGAGGGGGGAAATACTGGGGTTACAGCCAACATTAGGCCTACTCAGAGGAGACACAGAAAAGGCTCCGTCTTTTGTTCCCACCAATTAAGCCTCCTTTGATGGTGGGATACAAAACAGGGTCTCAAAAGATGAATTCTACCTGTAGGCAGCTTCATACAGGAGGAGGTAAATCTTTCCACTATCTCGGTCTTAAGTTTAGGGCTTGAGTTTAGACACATTATTGGTATACAATTCTTGTAAACAACATATCTATTAACCAAATAAAATTAACTTTGTCAAACCTTAACACAAACTGGCTTTATTTTAATCTAATGTATAGCTTTATTATAGAAGTACATGTAAAAACATAAGTTCCAAAGCCCTTAACAGAATTTGGAAATTTATTAAACACAATGGGTAGAGGGAGAAATGGATTAGTTTCTAAATTGTACTCTATATTGCTTTTAATTTCCTGTATCTTTCACTATCTCCCTCGCATTTTGCTTGCCTTCTCTCCCCCGCTATTTGTAAGGCCTCGTTGGACAGCCACTTTGCTTTCTTGCATTTCCTTTTCGTTGGGATGGTTTTAGTTGCTGCCTCCTGTATAATGTTACGAGCCTCCATCCATAGTTCTTCAGGCACTCTGTCCAGCAAATCTAAATCCTTAAACCTGTTCCTCACTTCCACTGTGTATTCATAAGGGATTTGACTTAGATTGTATCTTACCGGCCCAGTGGTTTTTCCTACTTTCTTCAGTTTAAGCTTGAATTTTGCTATAAGAAGCTGATGATCTGAGCCACAATCAGCTCCAGGTCTTGTTTTTGCTGACTGTATAGAGCTTCTCCATCTTTGGCTGCAGAGAATATAATCAATCTGATTTCGATGCTGCCCATCTGGTGATGTCCATGTGTAGAGTCGTCTCTTGTGTTGTTGGAAAAGAGTGTTTGTGATGACCAGCTTGTTCTCTTGGCAGAACTCTATTAGCCTTTGCCCTGCTTCGTTTTGAACTCCAAGGCCAAACTTGCCAGTTGTTCCTTTTATCTCTTGACTCCCTACTTTACCATTCCAATCCCCTATGATGAGAAGAATCTCCTTCTTTGGTTTCATTTCTATAAGGTGTTGTAAGTCTTCATAGAATTGCTCAATTTCAGTTTCTTCAGCACCAGTGGTTGGTGCATAAACTTGGATTACTGTGATGTTAAAAGGTCTGCCTTGGATTCGTATCGAGATCATTCTATCATTTTTGAGATTGCATCCCAGTACAGCTTTCGCCACTCTTTTGTTGACTATGAGGGCCACTCCATTTCTTTTACGGGATTCTTGCCCACAGTAGTAGATATGATGGTCATCCGAACTGAATTCGCCCATTCCCGTCCATTTTAGTTCACTGATGCCCAGGATGTCAATATTTATTCTTGCCATCTCATTTTTGACCACATCCAACTTACCCAGGTTCATGGTTCTTACATTCCAGGTTCCAATGCAATATTTTTCATTACAGCATTGGACTTTCCTTTCGCTTCCAGGCATATCCGCAACTGAGCGTCCTTTCGGCTTTGGCCCAGCCGCTTCATCAGCTCTGAATCTACTTGTACTTGTCCTCCGCTCTTCCTCAGTAGCATGTTGGACGCCTTCCGACCTGAGGGGCTCATCTTCCAGCGTCATAACTTTCATATGCCTGTTGTCTTTGTCCATGGAGTTTTCTTGGCAGGGATACTGGAGTGGCTTGCCAGTTCCTGCTCCAGGTGGATCACGTTTGGTCAAAACTCTCCACTATGACCTGTCCATCTTGGGTGGCCCTGCACGGCATAGCTCATAGCTTCTCTGAGTTATTCAAGCCCCTTCGCCACGGCAAGGCAATGGCCACAGAGCAATGCAAAGAAATAGAGGAAAACAATAGAATGGGAAAAACCAGAGATCTGTTCAAGAAAATTGGAGATATGAAAGGAACATTTCGTACAAAGATTACCATAATAAAAGACAAAAGTGGAAAGGACCTAACAGAAGCAGAAGACATCAAGAAGAGGTGGCAAGAATACACAGAGGAACTATACCAGAAAGAAATGGATGTCTCGTATACCCCAGGTAGTGTGGTTGCTGACCTTGAGCCAGACATCCTGGAGAGTGAAGTCAAATGGGCCTTAGAAAGCACTGCTAATAACAAGGCCAGTGGAAGTGATGATATTCCAGCTGAACTATTTAAAATTTTAAAAGATGATGCTGTTAAGGTGCTACACTCAATATGCCAGCAAATTTGGAAAACTCAGCAGTGGCCAGAGGATTGGAGAAGATCAGTCTACATCCCAATCCCCAAGAAGGGCAGTGTCAAAGAATGCTCTAACTACCGCACAATTGCACTCATTTCACACGCTAGCAAGGTTATGCTTAAAATTCTACAAGGCAGGCTTAAGCAGTATGTGGACCGAGAACTTCCAGAAGTGCAAGCTGGATTTCGAAGGGGCAGAGGAACCAGAGACCAAATTGCAAACATGCGCTGGATTATGGAGAAAGCTAGAGAGTTCCAGAAAGACATATACTTCTGCTTCATTGACTATGCAAAAGCCTTTGACTGTGTCGACCACAGCAAACTATGGCAAGTTCTTAAAGAAATGGGAGTGCCTGATCACCTCATCTGTCTCCTGAGAAATCTCTATGTGGGGCAAGAAGCTAGAGTTAGAACTGGATATGGAACAACTGATTGGTTCAAAATTGGGAAAGGAGTACGGCAAGGCTGTATATTGTCTCCCTGCTTATTTAACTTACACGCAGAATTCATCATGCGAAAGGCTGGGCTGGATGAATCCCAAGCCGGAATTAAGATCGCCGGAAGAAATATCAACAACCTCAGATATGCAGATGATACAACCTTGATGGCAGAAAGTGAAGAGGAATTAAAGAACCTTTTAATGGGGGTGAAAGAGGAGAGTGCAAAATCTGGTCTGAAGCTCAACATCAAAAAAAGGAAGATCATGGCCACTGGGCCCATCACCTCCTGGCAAATAGAAGGGGAAGAAATGGAGGCAGTGAGAGATTTTACTTTCTTGGGCTCCATGATCACTGCAGATGGTGACAGCAGTCACGAAATTAAAAGACGCCTGCTCCTTGGGAGAAAGGCGATGGCAAACCTAGACAGCATATTAAAAAGCAGAAACATCACCTTGCCAACAAAGGTCCGTATAGTTAAAGCCATGGTTTTCCCAGTAGTGATGTATGGAAGTGAGAGCTGGACCATAAAGAAGGCTGATCGCCGAAGAATTGATGCGTTTGAATTATGGTGCTGGAGGAGACTCTTGAGAGTCCCATGGACTGCAAGAAGATCAAACCTCTCCATTCTTAAGGAAATCAGCCCTGAGTGCTCACTGGAAGGACAGATCCTGAAGCTGAGGCTCCAATACTTTGGCCACCTCATGAGAAGAGAAGACTCCCTGGAAAAGACCCTGATGTTGGGAAAGATTAAGGGCACAAGGAGAAGGGGACGACAGAGGACAAGATGGTTGGACAGTGTTCTCGAAGCCACAAACATGAGTCTGACCAAACTGCGGGAGGCAGTGGAAGACAGGAGTGCCTGGCGTGCTCTGGTCCATGGGGTCACGAAGAGTCGGACACGACTAAACGACTAAACAACAACAACAAAATTGCTTTTAAATGTTTTGGCATTCCTTTATAACATATGCAGTGGAACCATCATTTTCAAGACAGCCCTCGTCACAACCTTGGCAAATCTAGAACTGTACTTGATAATCTGATAATACTGGTAATAATAATAGTAATACATTTTATTTATATCCCGCCCTCCCCAGCTGAGGCTGGGCTCAGGGCGGCTAACAACAATCAAAATAATCCAACGTTCATGGTAGTCTTTATTTGGTTTTTGTTATTTTAACCCAGGGGTCAGCAAACTTTTTCAGCAGGGGGCTGGTCCACTGTCCCTCAGACCTTGTGGGAGGCCGGACTATATTTTTTTTGGGGGGGGGAATGAACAAATTCCTATGCCCCACCAATAACCCAGAGATGTATTTTAAATAAAAGCACACATTCTACTCATGTAAAAACACACTGATTCCCAGACCATCTGCAGGCCGGATTTAGAAGGCGATTGGGCCAGATCCGGCCCCTGGGCCTTAGTATGCCTACCCATGTTTTAACCCATGTGCAGTGTTGTTTTTCATCTTTTAATTCTCATCTGTTTAATTGTTCTCTTTGTTTTATATACATTAGAAAATGAAATAAATAGATAAGTAAACTTTACAAACTTTACAAACAAACAACACCAAACAATGTAGGGCTTTACAGGGAGGCACCTCGAACTGAGCCCAGAAAGAAACAAGACTTCAATACAATTGATGAGAGATCCCTGCAATGTGGTCTAAAAAGTTTTATGTTGGAGCACAATCAGACCACCAGCAGGGTGCAAGTGACACCCTTTATCCTTCTTGGCTCGCCATGGGAACAAGGAAAATGATTCTAGACAGACTCATAATTCGGCTGTTGATCTGACAGAGGTCACTTTAATCTGATAGCCCAAAGTGAATTACAACATCAAAAACAAAAGAGATTCAACTTTTTAATTATTATGGTACTGTTTAAAAATTGATACTGTAGAAAAGAGTATTTAAAAAGCCAGGTTAAATAAGCAAAAGCCGAAATAAAACAATTGCAGAGTTCACTGCACACCTCTCAAAACCAGAACTAGAGGGGGCCTCTTGCCTGCGAGGCAACGGTTACCTCTTCCCCTGCTGTCCAGTACAAGCCCGGTTGCAAACCAACACCACCAGCTTATCGCTTGCTACCGCCGCCGCTGCCGCCGCCACCCTGGTATTGGAGTTCTCCAGCCTCCCTTGGGTATACGGAGCTGCCCGAGGATGGTCAAGGCCATATTTCAAGTGATTCAGATTGCTGTTCACGTGGATTCCTGAAAGAGAGTGAAGAAGAGACTTCATGGTCAACACGCCGCAGAGAGGGATACAGGGGCACATCTGGTGAAGCCATCTGATGGCCAAGTCCAGATAACATGGAGGTCACTGGTAAATGTTTCGTGCTCTTAGGTGGCCTTTTCTCAGCCTACGTGGAACAGAAGTAACACGGGGGAGTGGGGAAAGCACAACTTAACAAGGTTTTTTCTTCCCTTCCAAGAGCAGTCATGTTAAACATCTCCGGAAAGGTTGGGAGGCAAAAGGAAAACTCTTGCAGGAATCAGGCAGATGCCAGACAGATGGCCTAGCAGCCCAACATACCTCTCTGGCTTAGGATCCCCTCGGGCCGGTAGATTTCCGGGGTCTCAAAGGCAAAGATGCAGTCGCTCTCCTGCACTGTGTCGAGGTCATCCAAATCAGAGAAGGAGCGGTGGAACCCATCATAGTACATCTCAGTGAGCACGATCTGCAGGAGGCCAGAATGTAATAAGTACCTGTGTTGCAGCATTGCCGAGGCCAAGTAGCAAGACTCCCAAATGCTACATACACCCCCTGGATAGATCAAAATAATACAAGGTGCCCAGAGCCCGCCTAGCTTTTCCCAGCTTCCCAAAATCCTTCCACTCAGGGGTGGGAAACTGGATCCAGTCACTTTGAGGGTTTCTACAATCATGCAGAAATAAAAGGGATCACTGAGACACCCTCAGCCACCACCCTCAGCCACGCATCGTAAACACTGCACAGGAAGAGGTATTTGGTACATTTTTAGGTCACTGGATGCTGAACAGTGAGTGTGGCACAGCTGCAAGAATCAGCCCCAATGTCCTCAACCCTGATGTCTGGCAGGACCAACATTCACCTGTTTGGTGGGGATTTTGGTTTCCCTGGACACAGCTTCTCTCAGTCGCGCCACTGTTCCAGACAGAGGCACAGCCACCCCGATGCGCATGCAGTGGGAGCACTTCCCTCGGTACACCACTGTGATGTACAACGGCCTGCAGAGAGGACAACAAGGGCACATCTTTTTGGAGGGCAGACATTTGGGAGTTGGACGAGGAGGCAAATCTGCTAAGGTTCAGCAAGGTGAGTGGGGTGGAACAGGACTAATGCACACATGGACATTCTGGGCCCAGCTGCAGCTCACTCTCCACAGGCTGCAAGAACTTTAGCTTATTCATTCATTCATATGCCGCTTTTCCACACACACCAAAAATGATACTCAAAGCGGCTTCCAACAAAGAAAACAGGAAAGCACTTTAAAACCAAAGAGGGCAAAACAATTTCATAGTAACAAAGCAAAACACCACAACAGCAAATTTAATTACATACAAAAAAGAAACACTTTTCACTATTATAAATATAACAAGGTTATGTAAACAACATCCAGCATCCAATGGCAAAAACCAGAGTTTCACCCTGGTCCTAGAAATACCAGATGCCCTGATGTTGCTCACAGTCCCTCTCCTGCAGCAGATTCTTATAAGGGTTCGAGGACAGCAGGGAAGGGGAACTGGAAACACCCCTCCCTTGCTTGCTTGCTCAGCACCAAGCAGCAGATTTGCAGTATATTGCTATAGCTTGAGCTCAATCCACATTTAAACAGTGAGGGTTCCTTCCCCACCCTCACCCCCAAATTTAACTGTGGGTCCTCAAGACTATTAAAGAATCTGTGAGCTATACAGGAAATAATTTGGCCACCTGAACCAGAGGTTCCACATCCCTGGTGTGCAGGAAAGCGCCAATGAGTGAGCAAGGTACACTCTTCCTCCCCGCTCCTTTTCCCATGGCAATGGACACATACCGTGTGTGAGGCAGGGGGATTGGCAGAGAGATGCACAGGAACGGGTCAAAGGTATTACTCTGCTTCTGGCAATGAGGACACGTCAAGGATGACCTGCCAGACAACAAGGGAACAGAAGCCTCATTTAGGACACAGTACAGCAGCCCCCCTCTCCACAGAAGGGATAATCAGAGGCCACCCAACTCCCAAATTCCCTTGCAATTAGAGCCTGGAAAAAACACAGCATTCAAGCAAAATGTGACGATATCACTGGTCCTTCCATTCCCCCACCTCCACCTCTTGCAATGAGCAAGATTAAGATCTGGCTCCCATAAGGTGAATATGCTCTTCCACCCAATATTAAAAAAGAAAGAAAGATGTCAGGTAGGTTTGTAGTCATGCCTTCTCTCCGACAAGCTATTCTTCCGGGTGCAGAGATTTATTCACTTTTCATTGAAGAAGCATTAAATCACATGGCAGCTGAGAAACAGATTCACCTCCTCAGCTGTTGAGAACTGGGCCCTAGAGGCCACACTGGAAAGCTGAGCCCCACACCGGCTGCCCCAAGACCTTGTTTCTCAGCCCCAAGGAAAAGCACCCAACTCACAAACCCCAGGGCGGGCAGGCTGAATCAGGGAATGAAACAGATGTTCATCCCAGAAGGTGGTTATGCTCCGTAAAGAACAAAGAGGCTTCCTCCTAGTCCCAGGAGCCCTGCGAGTGTCTCTGCCCCTGGCAAACCAGACACAGAGCAAAGTGATGCTGACAGCCAGGCAAGGGGCGCCATACCTGTATTGGGCCTGAAAGAGTTCCTGGACAAAAGTGCTATTGATTGGAAATGCAGGTCCTTCAATCAGCACTTCATCTTCCAAAGGCGGCTGGAAGAAAAAAAAGCATTTTGTAAGGAAGGTGTTCAGCCATGTGCTGGGGGAATCACACGCTATGGTGGGCAGAGGACAGAGCTAAGCACAGGAGGAAGCAAACTATCTGCTTCTGCAAAATGCTCAGGGTGGCAACTATCTGGTTTGTGTTCACACATCTCCACAGCCAGAATTCTGTGAGCATGCACACATGCAGAAATTCTGCCCCCAAGTAAGAAACCTATGCACATCTGGAAAGAGCTGCAGAATACTTTCCACTCAGAATGCACTTAGCACAGCCCTGGGACTTCAGTGGCAAGATGGGACTCATCCAGGTATTTCTGGGCCCGTAACTCCTTCGACATCTGACTCCTCTGGAGCAGTAGATGCACAGGCATGCAAAGTGTCAGCTGAGGACTCCCTGGGCCACTGCCAGCATGCCCTGAAGACGTGCCTCACCTTCAGAGGTCTGCCATTGTTCTTCACTATGTTGTTGAGGTCCTCGTGAACTCGGTCCAGAAGCCAGAGGAGGAACTCCTGAGCGTCGTGCTGTGAGCTCCCTCGATACTGCATGGCATTCTTGGAAACGATGCTCTGTGGAGAAGCAGCAGAGCAGCTCAGCAGCTGCACCAAACCCCTAGAAAACACCCACCCTCACAGCTCTCCGCAACGGAGCAAAAATGAATATATATGTCACCACCAGATGACACTGTTGTGTTTCAGCTCAAGGAAAACTGCAGTTGGGTGAATTTTTGTCCTTCTCTAAGACCAGCTAGCAGGGAAAGATGTTGCTCTCTGGGTCAGTAAGTTCTTCCAGAGGGAGGTGAGGCATCCCTATTAAATCCCCAGTTGTCTTCCATCCAAGACAAGAGAAATTGAGAACCCAAATAGTGTTTGTTTCCTCTGGAAGGGCCAGAGTTCCACCCTCTCCAAGGGAACACAGATGCTGCTTACAGGGCAGGATAAATGCATGCATCCCTTTGATCAAAGCAGATAAGAGAAGCCCAGTGTGGGGTGGGGGACTGGATCTAGCAAGGGGGTCAAATGAGACAGGTGGGGGCTTTGCACTTGTCAATTAGCTGGCATCAGGTGGCTTTTTTGGTCCACAGGGGTCTGGCAAAGGCAGCACTTTGAAAAAGCTTCTGAAGAGCCAAGAGACAGTTGACCTGACACCTACTGGTCTTGCTCTCATTAATGGATTACCTGAGGAAAGGCTCTTTCCCTTTTTGCAAGGCAGCAGAATTCCTGTACAGTGTACACAAATAACTATGACAGCTCTTCTGGAGGAAAAAAGCTCCCTTTATTCAAAAAGCAATTTAAGTATCCCCCCCCCCCCAATAATTGTATGCATTGTTCTCTTTGCTTGCCCCAAGTGAAACTGGACCCATAAATCCTAGCTGGATTAGTAGTCAGCTACATAGCCTCTGTGGAACAAGAAGAGAGGAAACAGTCAACAGGCAAGCCTATATTCTTGTCATTACCCATTATTACCAGAGGTTTGCATGTCTACAGCCATACTACCCTGAACGCGCCTTATCTCGTCTGATCTCGGAAGCTAAGCAGGGTCAGGCCTGGTTAGTACTTGGATGGGAGACCAGAGGTTTGCATGGGGGGGGAGCACAACAGGGGCAGCAAGTGGGGCAACCCTTCCCTCCAACCTCTGGCAGAGATGCTACATCTTAGCCCGGTGCCACCTAAGAAAAAGCAAACTCTGCTTTCCTGCATTAACAGTGGCTTCTTATTTATTTATTTATTTTTTAAAAGAGAGATTTGTTATTCATGCGACTTATTACTGGAGGCTTTTGCTACCAGTTGCCAGAATCAAATTCCTTGGTCACCACTGGCACCTATGTTTAGAGACCCCTGGAGATAAACATCGACAGCTGCCAAGATTAAAAGCTACACCATAACTCAATGTGCTAATCTACTTTCCAGCCATGCTATCAGGAGATGGAATACCTCACATAAATTTGAGGTAATCCATCGTTCTCTATCCTCCTTCTGTACTTTCTAAAATACATGGGCTTAAGATGGTTAACATAGATCCCAAGAGATTAGCAACTCTTTGTTAGGCAAACCTGATTCCCACCAAGTCTGGAAAAGCGGCCACTTCCCTCTCCTCCCAAAGCTGCTTCTCTCTCTGCATTTCTCAGCAGCCTCTCATTCAGCCCTGGCCTCCATGCATGTAGGCACATGCTCCCCTTTCACACTTGGCCAGCAGTGAATTTCTCACGTGGGGATTCCCACGTGTACCGCAAACGCAAGAGCCAGCCCCCACAGAATGGCCTGGCCATTCATAAACACAACTGAAATCCAAAGCTCCAGACTAGGCTGCCTATGTAGTGACACAACAGCAACCGCCCAGCAAGTTGCAAGAGACATCCATTCTTCCTACTATCCACTGACCCTTTGGAAAACAGCATTTTAAAGAGTATGTGAAGTAGAAAGTTAGCTATGGGCAGCTTCACAAATTATGCGGCAAATGTACGTTTGATGCATGTAGTCCAGGGTTTTAGGTAACAAATATGTATGATGGGGGGTCTCTCTCTGACACAGACACACATGTTGCTGCTTATGGAAATGGTGTCGGGGTCCCCAAATGCAGGCACACACTGTTTTGCTGACCTGCTTACTGCAGGAAATGCAGGTGACTAACAGGGTTCCTGTTTCAACTTCAACCCACGCAATCAATTTCCAAACCTAGAAGTGCTTCTGGACTCAAGTATGTTTCCTGAAATGTGGCCCTTTCAGGCTCTTTTAACACAAAACCAGCCCAATGAAGGCCACTTCAGGTAAATGGATATTCATGCTAATTCAGTCTCCCTCAGCTACCAGATAGGGATAATATGCGGAGTTACCCGACCTCTAACCCACCACACAGAGAGCAGAGTCCAGCACAACACAGTAACACAAAGGCATTTCATTGGCTGCTCTGGAATTCACACTTAAGCAGCGATATGATCCTGTTCACAAGACTGAACGCAATACAAACACCGAGGCACACCCAATCAGCTGCTGGAAAACAAGACAGGAGACAAAGGAAAAGTATTACAGTCCTGGATCATCCAGCTCAAGATAATTCCTTCCAGTGGACTAAACTCAATGGGTGGTGGGACCTGTAATCCTTAAAAAAAACAAGCCTCCCTGCCCACAACTCACAACTACAACCCCCACATAGGTTGACGATGCTTTTGTATCACATTATTAAAATTAATCTTCCTACATCACAGCCACTGCAAATCAGACACTACAATCTGGTCATGCAAGCAGAACATCTGTAATAGAAGCTGCCTGCTGCCCCACTCCCCCCAATCAGTTGAGGGCTTAGCCCCAAGACAGATAATATCCTCTTTAATGGACATTTTTCACCAGCTCTGAGCCCCTTGGTAGCCATTATTCTCAACATCACTCCAAGGCTTCCCAAAACAGCTAAAGAGAAGAGGCGGTGTGCATGTCCCAGTTTGTTGAAGGCTGCATGCCTTGCACATAGCCCAGCAAAGTCATAGGAATGCCCCCTCCTGGATAACATTGCAAGAAGGATCTGGAAGTTGGCAAAGGAATGGAGTGGGGGGAAAGGTTTTGAAGCCTTCCAAAGCAGAGCACAGAGGAAGAGTAATAGGGACACCTCCAGACAACCTATTTATTGGACATTCATCTTGGTTTCCTTGCAGAAGATTTGCATGGAGAATAGATTATATCTAATCTGAACATTCATTCCTCCTTGTTTGCAGGGCAGTTAGCCCACAATGAGCACTCATCCTGAATTTATCCCCCTTTTCCTTGTGGGATGCATATACATCTTTCTTCATTCCTCCTGCACTTTACAATGCATTTTCCTGCAAAAAGTCCACATTGTAATCTTTTTTAAAAAAAAGTTAATTTGCTGTGCTTAAAACCACTTCAGTTGCACAAACCTAAATGTCCTAACATTGCCCCCCCCCAAAAAAATACTAACCATCTGGAGTCACCAAAGATTGACCCTTTCCACAGCAGTAAGGAGCATCAGCCTCAAAACATAACCTTTTTTTTCAGAGGTCAGCTTTATCTGTCCTGTAAGCAATAAGTCAGATACAACTAAGTTGTACTTTCTAAGCTTTCTTCTGTCCCCATGAGCCTTAGAAGCTTGCTATCAAAAAAAGGAAGCAGATATTCAGCAGGCAATTTCTCTGCTTTGCTCATGATGTAGCACACAGCACCTAACGGTGACATCCCAGGTGCCCATAGCGAGGTGGCTGCTCAAGCCTGCCTATCTAAAGAGAGAAAGAAAGAACATTACCAGGTGACAGGGGGAAAGAGAATGTAGTTGGAGGCCAGGGAAACAAGAGGGACTTGGCCACTGGGATCACTGATCTCCCAATGCCTCCTGCCACTCAACCACAAACCAGGCACCTCCCAAGTGTGACAGTCGCCTCCAAAGGAGGAAAGAATTTGCCCACCAAAAGTCATCTGCAGGTGTGAATTACGAAAAAGCAGAGGATGGCTGTTCAAGGCTAAATTTAGACTTTGCTTGCAACTTTGCTGAGAACAGACAATTCAATTTGTGTGTTTTTAAAAGGGTTGTTCCACTTTTTTTGTGCTGTTATCTATTCCAGTCCCAGAAACAAGCCAGTGACCAGATTTTAGTCAAGTATCAACTGTGCACAACTGGGAGACTAACGGCTATGCTTTGGCTGCCAAACTACCATGTGGCCAGGATAGGTGACATCAGCTATAGCTCAGAGATCCCCTCAGAGATCACAGCTCTCATTAGCAAAAGCTTTTAGGCCAGTTTGGCACAGCAACATCCAGCCACAGTTGCTGAAACGCATCGATTTCTGTTGGCCTCCTATTCTTTGGCAATCTCTGAGTTGTTCCATTTGCTTTTGGAGATACCAGCGTGCAGCAACACTCTCACAGCAAAGCTTGCTAATACCAACACAACGCTTGCTTCCCAACACTTATACCAAGTTCCTGGAGCTGTGCTGCCTAACCCACTGTGCTGAAAACCTAAGTTTATCCCCAAAGAAGACCAGATCTAAAAGCAGCTGCCTGGCCTCAAGAAGCAGCCATGACTTGATCCCAGGAGTGACCTCTTTGCAGAGGAAAAGCAAAGCACAAAGAGTACCCAGGCTGTAGTTCATTGGCTACTAGCCACAATGGCTACATTCTACCTCCACTGTCAGAGGTAATGTACCTCTGAAAACCAGCTGCTGGCAATCACAGGAGGGGAGAGCTGCTCCTGGGCTCATGTAGATGGAAGTCTTCCTCCAACATTGCTCCAGCAGTTGTCTCTCTTGTTTCCTTCTTTTATTGGGACAATTAAGCTTATTTGGCTGTAAAAAGCAGGGAAGGATGCTCAGGGACAACTGTGTCAACTGTCTGGGCCATCCCCCACCCCCACCCCCATTTCAGAGGTCAACTAGGACTTCAAGAGGATCACCTGCCAAGGAAAGCCCAGGAGCCCTATGGAAACCAAGCAGTTTGATCAGCCTCTTTTGGCAACCACACAAATTGTTCCTCTATCCCTGCAGAGATTAAGGGCCCAATCTAGACTCATTTAAATCCAGTTTCAGGCCTGCTTTTGGTTCTCAGAGTGCCTGTCACACTGATGGAAGAGGACAGAGGGTGAGTAACCCTGTTAGTCCTTCTGGATCTCTCATAAGGTTTTGACCATTGTACTCTTCTGGGTGGGTCTCCACATCAGAATCAGATGCCTGGTGACTGCTCTTGAGCTCCATGACATTTGCACTAAGAGGTCCTGAAGGGCTCTGCCTTGCTTCTACACACACATCCCAGCCCAATCTTCTTCCATGTTTACATGAAACTGTGGGGTCATCCAGGGATTGCAAAGAAGGGTTTCATCAATACACAGATGACACCAAACTCTACTTCTCATTTTCATCTAAGTCAGGTAAAGCAGTGGAAATGCTGAACTGGTGTCTGACATCAGTGAGAAGCTGGGCAAAGGCCAATAAACTGAAATTCAATCTGGACAAGATGGAGGCACTATTGATAGGTGCTTTGTCTGCTCAAGAAGACTGTTTAGGCAGTTCTAGATGGGGAAATACTTCCCCTAAAGCAGGTAAGAGGAACCTTCGCTACAAAATAAACAATTTCTTTATGCAACACATAGTTAAACTATGGAAGTCACTCCCACAAAAGGCAGTGATGGCGACCAAATTGGATTACTTTAAAAGAGGGTGAGACAAATTCATGGAGGAGGGTAAAGCTACCACAATGGCTATCCTCTCCCCCCACAGCTGGAGGCAACTATGTTTTCAAATACAGTTGTACCTTAGTTCTTGAATGCCTTTATATTTGTACGAATGCCACAAACCCAAAAGTGAGTGTTCCAGTTTGCGAACATTTTTCGGAAGCCAAACGTCCAACGCAGCTTCCACATCTGACGACTGAGTGCAGGAAGCTCCTGCAGCAAATCGGAAGCCACGTCTTGGTTTTTGAATGGTTCCAGGAGTCAAACAGACTCCTGGGACGGATTAAGTTTGACAACCAAGGTACCAGTTTCTGGAAACAAGAGGGGAGAGGTCTCTTGTGGTCAGATCCTCTTTGAGGGTTTGCCATTGAGGCATCTGGTCTGCCACTGTGAGAATGGGATACTAGACTACTAGAGCATGTTTATTTTTTCAACTTTCACATTCCCAAAATGAGGGGTGCTAAAAAGTTATAACATCACCTGGGAATTCAAAAGCTATTTTGGTTAAATTAATATAATTTAGTTTTGCATAGTAAACAACTACAGTACATAAAATATTGACCTTTTTAATAAACTTCCAATAATTTTAGACTTGTCTTATAAGAGTGAAAAATATATATGTGAAATTGCATAAAAATCGAAACGTCAAAACTTGACAAGCTTTTTGATATCCTCAATTGCAAGTGTAAGATTTTTCTTTGCTCTGAATTTGACTGCCCTACAGATTCTGGTTGCAAAAAAGAAGCTCATGTTAACTGTACATGCCCTATGGAGATGAAGATCCCTGGGAAGGAACTTGCTTTCATTAAAGGTCAGAGAGAGAATACTGGTTTGATTGGGCCACATCAGACTGTCTTGCCAGATCTGCCTGAGCATAACAGACGAGTCACAAAGCAGAAGCGGCAAGAAGATGAGAGAAGAAGACTTGCTGAATATAAGCAGTGAAGTAGGTAGGTTGCTTGAATACCATGAAATGAAATAATTTTCTCTGCTAGTGAAAATGAAGGTGCCCAAGATGGAAATGGTGGAAGTTATGAATTGACATTAAGAAAAAAAGTATGACTTGCATGTCAAATAAAAAGACAGAGTACGACACATTAGAAATACATAATGTTGCTATGTAGAACATCGGATAGGGTGTTGGCCTTTGTGCCACAGCTGCCCTCACCACTGCCACCTTTCTGGAAGCTGGCTTGATCACTGAAAACAAGAGACTTGATCACAATAAAGTCAAGAGGGCCAAGAAAAAGTTATGAAATCCCTGGATCAAGAATCTGATTACCTTTGTCAGAAGGATGAAATTGACAGCATCTTCTTTGACAGCCAGGAAGATACAACTAAAGCTACACTCAAAGCAGACAATTCAGATCAGCGGTTCCCAAGCATCATCTCAGAACAGAATTAATATGTGTGCAGTGAGCCAGGTGGAAGGTACCTCTACCACTTCACACTGGAAAAAGGCTGGAGTTTTTGCTAATAATTTTGTAGATTTCATTAAGAAGAGCAGCATTGATGAGAGTCTGAAGGCCACTGAAGGTGATTCTACAAATCTGGCTCAGAGGGTAGTACTATGCATTGGGTAGAGATCAAGCTTGGTTGTAAGCTGATCGGGTTGGTTTGTGCCCTCCACACCAACGAGTTACCCCATGACAGTTGATCCAGCACTCAATGAAAAGACCTTGTCTAACAGCAAGTGGACAGGTAACATTGACAAGATGTTAAGACACTGCTACAGAACTTGACATTGATTCTTCATTAACCAAACTCACAACTTGAGAGCCTCTTCACTGACTGACAATGTCATAATGGATCTGTCTACTGATCAAGCGTTCAAGTATTGGATCACACAGGCCATAAGGACAGAAAAACTTCCCATGGATCTGGTCCTTCTTGAAACTGGTCCAGTAAGCCACTAAAGGCAAAGCCCCCAACAACTTAAGACTGATAGTGGAATACATTGTTTGCATGTACTACCCCCTGCTGGTTCAACTTCAAAGTAAAACAGCCTTGTGTAGAAGGCCTACACCAAATCTTGTTTCAGCTGCAACAAGTTAGGCTGCAAAAGAAGGCTGTAGTGGATGCTGTTTTGCCAACCACTCAACATTCAGCACGGTATGCATTCAGCGAAATGATAATCCAGACACTCTTGTGCTCAGATGACAATGAGGAGAGGAGACTGAACCCGCAACCTTGGTGTTATCAGCACCACACCCCAACCAGCTGAGCTATCTTTCCATGGGAGTAACTCAGGGCAATCAGCTTTGAACCCTGCTGCAATGCCCCAATGCCACACTCACAAGGAATTGATACAGGGAGACTCCTCCCTGCACCACCCCCATCCTGGAGCACGGACACAGTGACCGGCATTACTTAAGTACACAGACAAAATGGAATTTGAAGATTTTGTCACTGTATTGATTGAGTTTATGGCTTCCCTGGCAAGAATCCATCCTGAATTTTAGTCTGGCTCAACACCCCAGGAGGCTTACAACTGCAAAACAAGAGGAACCACTATGATATAAATATAAAAGATTATTAAAAAGAAGCCATCTCCCATGTAAAGCACCACCACACCCCGGGTGAAAACGGCTCCCACCCTAGAGACCTCTGCTGAAGGACAGACAGATGGCTTTTGTAAGCATGAAATCAGGCATAATAGTATAGCCATGGGCTCACTCAAGCAGGTAGAATAGCAAGCCATAATGTAGGTCAGCTGAGGAGATTTAAGGCGGCGGGTGCAGAGGGATTTTCAGAACCACCAGGCAACCTAGATATCCCCCTTCTTGTTATTTTGCTGGAAAATCCTCAGGCAGCTCTGAAAAATCCCACCCGGCCCAATTGTGGCACCCGCTGCTTAGCCACAGGGGCAGGCAGCAGCTCAAGCTGGAAGGAGACAGCAAAAGGCACCACGGAGCTTCCCCTCCTGAATACACAGTAAGTGCTTGTCACCATCCCACATTTCTCAGTGAGGAAAGAGGACTGATGGGCAGAAAAAAGCCTTGTGCTGCCACACAGCCACAAACAAGAGGGGGAAGGTAGCACTGCTCATGCAGAAAAATGCTGAGCAGTCAGAAGAGGCCGGCTGCAAGGAACAGATCTGGTAACACTCAAAGGAGAACAAGGAAATCACAACGGGGTGCATTCACACAGGCAGTTTAACCTTAAGAACCCAACAGAAAAACTGCCTCTGTCTACCCCAACAAGCCGGAAAGGCTGTCTAGTCAAGAGATGCAAATGTTGATGGAAATCACACTGGCTCCTTGGCAATTAATTGGAACTCGGGAATAAGCACAGGCCTCGACAAGCAGTGTCTGCCAAAAAGTGGGAATGAGCAAAGGAGAGCAGGACTAGGCCCCATTCCTAAACATGTAACATGATCAAGTGCCCTTCAGACCCTTGTACACCCCCCCCCCTTTCTGCTTTGTCAGCAAGGTCGCCGGATGAAGTTAGCTTGCATTCTGCACATAACTCTTGCTCCACACAATGTATCTCAGGTGGTTATGGGTTTGTGTTTTTTATTTAGCTCTAAGCAGAAAGAATAACCACTAGCGTTAACTAAAGCAATCCAAGAGATTTTGTATAAATTGCATGGAAAGCAGGAAATAGTGAAAGACCCTAGATATCAATACAGTGGTGCCTCGCAAGACGAAATTAATTCGTTCCGCGAGTTTTTTCGTCTTGCGGTTTTTTTCGTCTTGCGAAGCACGGTGTCGGAAAAGTTTTGGAAAAGCTTCAAAATCACCAAAGTCTTCAAAAACCTCAAAAAGACTACCACATCGCAGTGCTATGAGTTGCTCCTCGAAGTCAAGTCACAACTGTATTAACGGTTTTAAGAAAAAGGAAACAAACTTGCAAGACGTTTCCGTCTTGCGAAGCAAGCCCATAGGGAAAATCGTCTTGCGAAGCAACTCAAAAAACCAAAAAGCCTTTCGTTTTGCGAGTTTTCCATCTTGCAAGGCATTCGTCTTGCGAGGTACCACTGTATCAAGTTTTTAGGGAGTCTAAGCAAACATGAATCTGGAATCCACCACTACCACAAGTAGTTGCATGTTTATTGCACATACCTGAAGTTGTACATTTGCCGTCTCTATTAAAATAGCACCAATTCCTCTTTGTTTTTGCACTGCCTTAAAAACCATAAATACTGTGTACTGTGTGAAAGCATAAAAAGCATTTTAACTCTCAACATATCCAACCCAAGAAGGAGGGAAAGATCTACAGGCACAACTTAACTAAACCAGCCCCATCTAAGTCAGAGCAGCAGTTGCCCCCCTGCAAACTGCTCGGCGGAGCAGCAATTAGGTGTGGGTGGTCAGGAGTCAGCATTTTCTGTCTCTCCACAGAGGAAATACTTCAGCTTATGCCACCTCTTTTGCCAGCCTCATATTCACTCACTGGCAGGGCAGAGACAGGGTCTGAGGCAGCTTAGGATCCTGACTAAGTCCTGACCCTCCCCATGACGACCCTCGATTCCTGCCCATTTCCAAGCTAATCTGGCATAAAGTCCCAAACGCTTGTGCCTCCTCAAAGAGACTGTCAGGATCTCAAGCACCTACACCTCTGTCTACCACATTCACTCAGGCAAGGGAGCTGCTGTCACAAGCTGAGCCTTCTTCTCATCTTTGATGTTACTGCATTATTATTTATATCCCGCATTTTCTCCCACTTTGGGATTCAAGGCCGCTTGCAACATTTAAAAACAATGTTACAAAACAGAAGCAATAAAAAAAAATCCAGTTAAAAACAGTACAGTGCTACCTCGGGTTAAGTACTTAATTCGTTCTGGAGGTCTGTTCTTAACGTGAAACTGTTCTTAACCTGAAGCACCACTTTAGTTAATGGGGCCTCCAGCTGCTGCTGCTGCACCACCGGAGCACAATTTCTGTTCTCATCCTGAAGCAAAGTTCTTAATCTGAAGCACTATTTCTGAGTTAGCGGAGTCTGTAACCTGAAGCGTCTGTAACATGAAGCGTATGTAACCTGAGGTACCACTGTAATTAAAATACATAAGAACACAAGGGTTGCAAAGGTGGGAAGCAACAGCCCTGACAACTCTGTGGAAGTCCCTTTCCCTTTCCAACTCTGAGGAAGAGTGCGGGGAGGCTGCTGTATTCTCAGAATACCCGGAGAGCATGCCATGTAAAACCAGCAGCACACCACTGCCCCAGGGGGGGCATTCTCGGCTGACGCTTGGCCAAGATACCCAAGCTCCTTGATCAAGTGATGGCAAAACAGTAAACCCCTCTGCCTCCCTGTTTTAGCCCGGGAAAGCAGGATGAGGTACACTGGCAGCGGCATGACAAAGGTGCCCAAAGGAGCAAAGGGAAGAACGACAGGGAACAACAAGGAGAGCCTCAAACTGTTAAACCACTGCAGGATCCCACATGAAGGCACTGTCAGTCTCATATTATTCTGCTACAAGCCCCAAGACCAGCCCTACCATTAGGCAGAGTAGGCTGGTAGGTGCAGGCCTGCTGCTCTCATGTGGGGGGCAAGCATGGACAGTTCCCCTTGGGAAGCAGAATTTTTGGGGTCAACCCTGACAAGCTACACACTTCCACTGCTACCTGCCTAAAGATTGCAAGATAAACTTTTTACATCCTACCATAGAATATTTGCAGGAGTTTACTGAGAACCCCTGAGCCCCGGGGTGGAACTGCAGTTTTCCACTATTAATCCAGGAACTCTTACCCTGTGCATTGTTTACAGACCGTTCAAGACAGGAAACTATTAGAGAAAGTTGCTTTCTATTTTTTTAAAAAGGTAAAAAGTAAAGGTAAAGGGACCCCTGACCATTAGGTCCAGTCATGACCGACTCTGGGGTTGCGGCGCTCATCTCGCTTTATTGGCCAAGGGAGCCAGCATACAGCTTCTGGATCATGCGGCCAGCATGACTAAGCCGCTTCTGCCAAACCGGAGCAGCGTACGGAAACGCCGTTTACCTTCCCGCCGGAGCGGTACCTATTTATCTACTTGCACTTTGACGTGCTTTCAAACTGCTAGGTTGGTAGGAGCTGGGACCGAGCAACGGGGGCTCACCCCGTCGCGGGGATTCGAACCGCCGACCTTCTGATCAGCAAGTCCTAGGCCCTGTGGTTTAACCCACAGCGCCACTCGCGTCCCTTTAAAAAGGTACTTTAAAACAATAAATTACTTGCTTCGCCTGCAGTTCCCAATCTCTGCATTAACCAGTATGTTTACTGAAACATCTAAACAATAGTTTGCTAACCTGTTGGTAAGCAAATACAATCCCATCAATCACAGAATTTGCCAACTGTTAAGCACAGGAACATGCCTGGACAAACAATGTATACAGTTAATCCTATGAAAGCAATCAAAAGTGTACATAAAACGAAGTATGACCCAAATCAGAATCAGACTCGCCTCCTCTCTCAGCACTCGAGGAGACAAAAATTGATGATCGGGGTTTATTTATTATAATGAGCCCTTTAAGTTTCATATTTGCCTCTCCATTAGATGTGTGGTTTAAAATCCATAAGGACCTCATCCTGCATTCTGTGACCCACATCCACGAGGGCCACTGCTTGTCAAGCACTTAAGCTGACACTTGCAGTGGCTGTTAGGGTCTTTGGTATCTGTTTGCTCCAATCCACAGATCCGCAGATCCCCATGCAGCTAGACGCACGGATCAAACATTTCTGAACTCTCTATTAAACAAGATCATGAAGGGCATTTTTAGAAAGGGGTTCAACTTCAAAGGGTCTAAAAACAGGTGATGGGGTTTATTTCTTTATTTGATTCCGTTTCACAGATAGAATGATAGAACTTGCACTGGGGGAGGGAAATCTGTATGTAGAACTTTTAAAACATAAGCCACCTGCAGCCTATGGAGGAAGACCATTCAAGAGGAAACCGATGTGCTTATTACACAGAGCTACAGGAATCTCCCTCATTCTTGCATACAAAGAGGCACATATGTAGCTGCTACCGACAAATTCAGGGCAGGAATTGGAGTCTTCTCTGTATCCAACTGAAAAGACCAAGAAAATGTTTAGGTAGGCAGAATACAGCTGACTGAAATAGCTGACAAAGACAGGGAGGTTAAAGCAATCTTGTCTTGCAAAAAGGAGCCTTTTGAAACAGACTTTGACAATGACAATACAGGAAACAAAATTCTTATTCATTCAACAGCCCTATTCACTTATGAGAGGGAAGCCCATTTTACTCCTGACAACCTTGCAAAGCTACCTGGCTACAGAAAAACCAAGTGCACCCTCTTGGCTTGGCCAACTTCAACAAAGCCAGAGGAGCAGAACCAGAGTAACAATTCAACGTCAAGGGTGGGGAACCTTTGGCCCTCCAGGTGTTGCTGAACGGCAACTGCCATCAGCTCCAACATGCATGGACAATGGCATGCGATAATGGGAGCTGTAGTTCAGCAACATCTGGAGGGCCAGACATTCCACACACCTGATCTCCATTTAGAAGGGAAAAGGAAGTAACAGTAATAACAATTACTGTAAGCATTTTCCAGGACCATGTATTTTAGTTTTGCATTGTTCATTCAGGGACTCCATTCATTACAAAATGATAACATTCAATTAAATAATGAACCGTATTCCCATCTGCTTTCCACATAGTGTTCTAGTTAGCACATCACATTAAACCATATTTAAAACAAACTATGGATTAGTGTGAACAAGCAGTTGCTGGTACATGGTTATTCAACCGCAGGCACTTCGCTCCTTCCCTGCTCCTGCCACACTGAGAAGGAAACCAGCTCAACAAGAGAGCCTTAATAGCACCTGAAAGACTAACAAATTTAATACGGCAGAGGCTTTCTAGTCCATGACATAATAAATTAGATAGACTTTACATTACTACAAGACTCTCATTTTGCTCCAGCATATGACATACAGAAGCTACCCTCCTAACAGAATAAACTATCCAGCTTTCCATATGGGTAGAGGCACCCTGGAAATGGAAAGAGAAGCCATTCTTTGGCAGCATTCTCCTGAACAGTTTAAAAGGGGCTTCCACTCCTTTGCTAGGAGGACTGCACATCCTCTCCTCCCTCCTCCTCTCAAGGGGAACAGCACAAAATAAAAAGGACATGTAGGCAACGCACAGGTCTACGGTAACAAGGCCCAGTACTAAAGCCATGCTTCTAGCTCTGTTTCCTGATGTACGTGCAGTTGTGTAACATGTGAAGAAATATAATGTTGGTATGTGCTAAAGCCCGCCAGGCTCACCATGTAATCACTGCCGCCATCTCCTCCTCCTCCTCCTCCTGGTGGGGAACAGTAGCAGGAGGGGGGCAGCAGCATGAGTAAGGAGGCCGGCAGGCAAGGAAGTGTGGAAAGAATGTACCTCCCAACCACAGCTACAGCTGCTGTCTCCTGAGAAGGAAAGCACCCCACAACCAACTGCTCAAGGTGGAAGTGGCAAAATTCCACCACTACAGGCAACCAGCTTCCTCAAAAAGAGAAGAAAGAAGTGGTCGAGCATCCAGCCACTGACTGGAGCACATAACAGGCTTCAATGTGCCAATATTCTGTAGCCGCAAAGACCTTAAAGAGTTTTAAAGTTCACAGTGCCATGAACCTCTTCTCATCCATCTTCTTCTTGTGCATTTGGTTCAAGCGCGGTAACTATTTCTGTGATGCAGCTTCAGCAAACCAGTGGGGACCCTGCATAAGACCTATCACCATTGATACAGCAAATGCCCACTTGAGTTTCTGACCTTGTGAACCGTATTTAATAGTTTAAAAGCTCCACTAAATATTCAAAGTTGCTACAATAAACATAAAGCAGACACCATAGAATCTGTGGTAACAAAACTGCTGTCCCCCTCCAAAAACTGGAAACCCAGAATTACAGAAAGTCACAAAAGATTCACTTCAGTGCCAAGAAAGCTAGCACTAGCCCACAGGCTAAGGCTGGCTTTCCTGCTGAGCTTTAATCAAGCCTTAATAAGTGCACAAACAATTGTGCTGCACAATGACCAGCAAGGGTATCTATCACCTTCCAGTTCTTTCTTTACAAGCAGATTTGATGACGTTTCTTAAATGTCACAAGCTGAGTCTACATTACATTTACATTTGATTTTACATTAGAGTATTCTTAAAAGGGAAATGCTTATCAAGGAAAAAATCTTATCACTTTTTTTGAAATTATTTTTATCCACCCTGGCTAGTAGCATGACTGCCATGTTTCAGCTCTTTGGAGAAAAACCAGACAGATTATTTCCCCCGAGATAAAGTAAGATCAGTTTCCTCTTTTTTCCTCTCTATTTATTCATTCATCCACTCATCCATCCTTTATGGTTAGAAACTGCCTTTCAGTTCTGTTTCCAAGAATAAATTGCTCCCCGTCTTCAGCAGGAAGATCCTAAGAAAGTAAAGCACCACATGAAGGTGAAGCCTCTGAACAGCTGTTTCCAGAGTAGCAGCCATGCTGGTCTGCTGCAGCCAACATCCCAAACTCTTGTGGCTCCTTAAAGACCAAGCAGAAAGCCCACTTCACCAGCTTAGGCTACAATAAACATGTTAGCCTTTAAGTTGTCACCAGGCTCTAAGCAGCAACTATCTCTTCCCCAGGCAACCTAACAACAGTCACCATTCCTGCTCAAAACACCATGTCAAATTTGGTGCCATTCTAAAGCTTCAGGAAGGAACAGTTTGGATAGAAATCTGTGGGTTTTGTTTAAATGTGACCGGGATGGTTATTTCCATGCCCACCAGTTTGGTAGAAAAACAAGGTAAGGATTCCTTCATACTCAGGAGGATAACTGCAGTGTATTAGTTTGATAAGAATAAAGCAACAGGGCGCAATGAGCTTCCAGGACCTTCGGAAAGCTGAGGGCAGCTGAGCCACAGAATGTCAATGGTGTCAGCTAAAAGGAAGAGGGGAGGAACTGGCCAGCTTGAGCCCTTAACACAGTTTATTTAACAGCCTGCCCATTAACACAGTAGGTCCCAGAGCATCCTGGCAAGAACCATAAATAATCCCAGTGGCTATTGGCTGATAACTGCAGCCATTCTGTAGGCAGAGTGAGCCATGTTACAATATCCATGGTGCAACGGCTGCACCCATGAACTGCCTAAGAAACACATTATGTCCCATCCCTGGTAGGCAGCTAGGGCACACAGTAAGTGGAGGAAATATTCAATGTTCAAACCTATTCAAATAAATCTTCAAGCAAAAAGGTATTGACAAGTACCCTTGCATGTGTACCCAGAAGTAGAGAGTAATTAATCCCTTAATAGCATGATCACTATTTTATGACATTTTGGCTGGTCTTAATAAAGGCATTGCCCACAATGAACCAACATGGATTCCTCCTCTTTTATTAATTTCACAGTTGTTCTCCTCCCCCATATGGGATCTGTGCAAGTATTTCGACAACTAATGCTAGAAAGTGCAAAAACTCTGCTTCTGTGAGGTTTAATGCTGGCAACCACAAATAAACACACTTTCTAAGGAAAAATCTGAAATACAACATGATCAAAGTTGTTTTTGAAACAATTAGAACAAATGTTAGAATAATAATTTAAGTAAGTCTCTTCCACTGGTGATCGAAATTGCTGAAACAAGACTGAATCAATTCACTCTAAGAAATGGCAAATATCACACAAACAGTTACGCCCTTTTCAAAATCTCAGCAATCCACTGAGAACATTAACAGGCCTTGTTGAGCTTGAACCAGTATAGCTGCACTAGATCCACTGTTTATGGCAATTTGACCTCATAGTTTGCAAGGGACAAACCCGGACTCCCTCTTTTCTTGCACACAACAGTAGACTCTTGGCTCTTGTAAACAGTGGGTGGCCTCCTGAAACCTGGCACCCCACTTGTTTTCCAACATCATGAGATTAAAAGAGAAGCAGCTCTGCTGAAAAGTGTTCCATATTCTCCTGATCCAATCATTAAAAACAAGCAATGAACAATCTCCTCATTGTCCCAAGCACCAAATCATAAACAAACAGTACCCTGGAAGCAAGGTCCATTCTAAGCAGCCCTTGTTGAGCAGCCAGGAAGCCTCATCCATGACCAGAGGGTACAAAGTGGAAGAGCAGCCCCCCACCCTGAAAAAAAAAATCAAGAGAAAATAAATGACTAATCTGTTGACCAATCCCAACCATTTTCCAACCCAGAACTTTGCTTACTAAGGCTGAACTCCTACCCCCACTTAACTAAGAGTAAGTCACATTGAATTAAATAGGGTTTACTTCTGAGTAGGCATGCTTAGGATTGCACTGCTTGTCATCTACCAAAAGGGTAAGTAGGAAACAAGACTAGATCAATTGTTCCTATACAATTAAAGGTAAAGGGTAAAGGGACCCCTGACCATTAGGTCCAGTCGTGGCCAACTCTAGGGTTGCAGCGCTCATCTCGCTTTATTGGCCGAGGGAGCCGGCGTACAGCTTCCGGGTCATGTGGCCAGCATGACTAAGCCGCTTCTGGCGAACCAGAGCAGCGCACAGAAATGCCATTTATCTTCCTGCCGGAGCGGTACCTATTTATCTACTTGCACTGGTGTGCTTTCGAACTGCTAGGTTGGCAGGAGCAGGGACTGAGCAACGGGAGCTCACCCCGTCGCAGGGATTCGAACTGCCGACCTTCTGATCGGCAAGTCCTAGGCTCAGTGGTTTAACCCACAGCGTCACCCATGTCCCTGCTATAGAATTACTTGTCTCCAATTTGAGTTAACAAGGCAGCCACCAGCTTTGCCTCAAAAAAACAAAACCCAATTGACAACAGAGCTGTGTGAAGTTTTTCCATCACCCAATATTAAAAGAAGGCAGAGTAGGCATCACAGTCATAGGCAGGGTCTTGGTATGATAAGAGTCAACTATGAAGCATCATTTATCAGGTGTTATTCATAAGCCAGGAGTACTGACTAGCATGTATGTCTCTTTCTTTCTGATACACACCCCAAACTTATCTTTCCAAACAAGTTTTTAGGGATCTTGGGCATGAACTAACTCACTAGTCACAGCTCTCTACACAGCCAAGACCAAAGCCTGCAGAGGATGCTGTGCCTTTGGGGAAAGGTTGCAGCTAGGAGGTAGAACATCTGGTTAGCATACAGAAGGACCTCTTCAGTTCAACCCCCAGCATCTCCAGGTAGGGCTGAGAACGTCTCCTGCCTTAGACCCAGAAGAGCCACTGCCAGTCAGTGTAGACAATACTGAGTGAGATGAACCAATAACCTAATTCAGCACTGGGCTGCTTCCAAGGTTCTATGCAGAGAGGGAATCAGGGCTACTATCTATGAACTACCAGAAACACGTGTGTTTAACTAAGAATCATACCAGTGCTAAATACCTGAACATTCTGCCATGAAGAAGATGGAACAAACTCATTCTTTGTTGCTCCACAGAGCAGGACTAGAACTGATAGGTAGAAACTGCAAGGAAGCAAATTTTGACTGAGCATTAAAAGAAATATTGCAACACAAAAGGCTACTGGGGAGCAGCTGGTGGGTTCTCCCACACTTGAGGCATTTAAGCAGTGGATGGCCACCCATATGCCAGGAATGGTGAAGATTCCTGAACTAAGCCGGGTGGGAGTCCAACTCTTATGATCCTAGGAAGTAGCCCCTCCTCTATTCGGTATGACAGAATTCTCTGTGCAACTCCAAACTTTATACCCTCCTATGGAAGTTGATCCAACAAGTAACATATTTAAATGATGTAAACGGAACTGTTTCTCTCATCTCACTCAATAAGAATTGCAGATAACACCTGAAGGAGATTCCAAACAGGTATTTTCTGCTATTCTTCATTCACTGCCGGTCTTAATATGAGTCAAGAATCCTCAGAGCTCACCCCTGGAACAGAAGGAAAACTACAGTTATCACAAATGGCACTCTGCATCTGCTCAGAGGTTTCCTTTCAGCCAGCCTATACATAGAAAGAAAAAAATCATCTATGCAAGTACTGATTGATAGAGGCACCTTAAGTTGGGGTGCCGACTAGAACTAGGAATTAAACAAAGGTATCACTTTTCCACCGCCAGATCTCAGCACCTGTACCTGTGAAGCTGGAATATACCACCTCTGGAAGCCACCACAAATCATTAACACACTGCCATCAGTGCCAGTGAGGGAGCTTCCTAAGAACAACCAATGCACCTCCCTGCCCCAAAGAGCTTACAGTCTCAATGTCAGCTCTAACCCAAGGGAATGACACCTTTGCCAAGAGCACCCAGGTCACAGCGCAGCATGCCTTCCAAGCAAGCAGGGCATCTGATGATTATTTTTAGGTGCTGCAGGTCTCGATGCACTGGCCTTGCTGTTGCTCTTGGTGCTTCTGAAAAGGGGACCCTGGCCAGATTAGATGCTTCCCCTGCGGAGGGGCTGCTAGGAGCCGGCAGAGGAGCGGGAGAGCCCCTCACCTTGAACTCCCGGCTGTGCTGCGGCGTATACTCGAGCGTCCAGAGGGCCCGCACTAGGTGCGACAGCTGCTCCGTCACCTCGCCCTTGCAGTTGTCCGGGGCGGGCTCCGGCGGGCGGGCGGGGGCCACGGCTGGCACGTCCCTCTCGCCGCCGCCGCCCTCCTCTTCCTCCTCCTCCTCCTCTCCGCCGGCGCCTCTGCCTCCGTCCCCGGCTTCTGCGGCGTTGGCGGCGCGGTACTGCTCGAGGGCGAGGTACTCGGCGAAGAGCTCGGTGTTGCTGAGGCACTGCAGGATGGCGTTCATGAAGCACGTGTTGCCGTGGTTGCGCAGCCCCGCCACGCCGGGCACGGCCGGCAGCAGCAGCGACCCCGCCGAGGAGCCCGGCGGCGGTGGCGGCGGCGAGATCAGCTCCTGGGTGGCGGGAGGCTGCGGAGGCGGCGGCGGCGGCGACGGGGAGGCGGCGGCTCGGGCTCCGGGCTGGGCTGGAAGCAGCGGCCCAGGCTGCTGCCGCCGGGGGGGTGTCCGTGGCGGGCGGTGGTGGCGGCGGGCCCGTGCTCGGTGCCCAGGTGGGAGAGCGTCGAGAGCGTCTTCAGCACGCGGCTCATGAATCCGCCCAGCGACCTGGAGGAGGAGGAGCCCGAGCCCCCAGTGCCGGACCCGCCGCCGCCGCCCACCCGGCCCCGGAAGAGCAGCCGCTTGCTGAAGGAGCGCTTCTCCTTGGCCGCCGCCGCCACCACCACCGGCGAAGCGGCGGCGGGCAGCACCGGGGCCGCCACCGCCGCAGCGCCACTCGCCCGGCCCGACATGGCGCCCTCTCCCCTCGGGCCTACCACCGCCTCATCCCCGCCGCCGCAGCCCAGCCTCCGCGCCTGGGAGCTTCACCGGCGGCACAGCCGTCCAGGAGCCGGAGCTGCGCCTCCTCCTCCTCCTCTTGCTGCTGCTCAGGCTGAGGCGGCGGCGGGCGGGGCGGAGCCCGCGCGGCGAGACGGGCACGCAGGAAGCCGGCGCCGCCATGCTGGTTGCGGGCAACCGCGGGACCAGCCGGCCTACCCTTCTCGCGGCCGCCGCCATCTTTGGTCCTGGCAAAGGCCTCTTTCCCCCTCCTCCGTCTCCCTCAGTGAAGAAGAGAGGCAAATAGCGTAAAGGGGCGGCGGCGGCTTCTTCGGCCACTCTTGCCAGCCGGGCAGCTTTCAGTGCGGCCCAGTACCCCTCGGCGCTGGCTCGCGAAGGCCCAGGCCCGAGCCTGTTTCCTCTTGCTCGGCTCCTCGGGACTTCCCGCCAAAACCTCCGTCGCCTCAGGGAGCTCACAGGGAAGCCAGGAGTTGCCTTTTTCTCCACAGAGACGGAATTATCGTGGCCATAAATAAATAAAGTAGCTAGCATGCAAACATTCTCTCTTCTCTTTGGTCATCACTCGTAGCCGAATAAGATTGTCTTCCATAAACACGGTTTTAACAATGAGTCCGTAAGTGACTGTGGAGGCCAATTCTGGTTCCACACGTCTTTCGACAGTGGGGACATTGGTTTCCAGTCGGGAGTTGAACAAGGTGAGGATTTGCCAAGCGTGCCTTCCTCTTAGCACCTTTCTCCCTTGTGTCCTGAGTTCGAGTGTCTTCAAAGCCCATGACACCTTTGGTAAAGGCTGTTCTCCAGTTGGAGTGCTCGCAGGCCAGTGTTTCCCAGTTGTCAGTGTTTATACTATATTTTTTAAGATTTGCCTTGAGACAGTCTTTAAACCTCTTTTGTTGACCACCAACATTACGCTTTCCATTTTTAAGTTCGGAATAGAGTAGTTGCTTTGGAAGACGATCATCAGGCATCCACACAACATGACCAGTCCAACGAAGTTGATGTTGAAGAATCATTGCTTCAGCACTGGTGATCTTTGCTTCTTCTAGTATGCTGATATTAGTTTGCCTGTCTTCCCAAGTGATGTGTAAAATTTTTCGGAGACACCATTGATGGAATCTTTCAAGGAGCTGGAGATGGCGTTTATAAGTGGTCCATGTTTCGCAAGCATATAGTAAGGTTGGCAGTACAATAGCTTTGTAAACAAACATTTTGGTTTCCCTGCGAATGTCCCAGTCCTCAAACACTCTGCACTTTATTCAGGAGAAAGTCGTACTCGCAGAGCTCAGCCGATAGTTGATTTCGACATCAAGGTTGGCCCTTGTGGAAAGATAACTGCCTAGGTAGGAGAAGTGATGGACATTTTCCAACGTGACACCATTGAGTTAGATTTGTGGTGCTGCAGAGGGGTTATTTTGTACTTGTTGGTGCATCACTTTGGTTTTTTGGATGTTGAGTGATAGGCCAAGCTTTTCGTAAGCTTCTGCAAAGATATTTAGGATGGTTTGGAGGTCATCCTCTGAGCGTGCACACACTACGTTGTCATCAGCATACTGAAGCTCTATGACGGAAGTTACAGTAACCTTACTCTTTGCTTTCAGCCTGCTCAGACTGAAGAGCTTTCCATCTGTTCAATATATGATTTTTACTGTAGTGGGGAGTTTCCCTTTAACAAAGCGTAGGATCATGGAATGAAAATAATGAATAGAGTTGGGGCAATAACACAACCCTGTTTAACACCTGATCCCACTGAGTGGCTCACTTTAAGAGCCATTGTTCTCTGTGATTGTTGCTGCCATACTAGATTGCTACACCCGCCCTTGCCCAGGGAGCTTTCCCTGAGCAAGGCGGGTGCGACCACTGCTTTTGTTGGAGGGCAAAAGCAGGTGTTCCACAGGGCCTGTCCTGCACCCCCCTGAATAGCAGCCTTCAGGTGTGCTGCTATCCTGTTGTCAGTGTTGAGTTCAAGTCCCTTCTCAATCCAGTTACCTTCTGAACTTGGGAGGGAGGTGCCATCTTGCCCTTTGCCTCCGGCAACAAAATGTCTTGGACCAGCCTCTACCAGCAAACTCAGCAATCCCCACGCACACACATTTGCAGCATCGCTGGCTCCAGCAACATCAGTGCTCCTAGTTCTTCCCTATAGAGCAACACTTCCTTTACTGCAGAGCTTTCAAAACTGTTTCGCTACACATTAGTGTGTTGGCTGCAGTGTGTAGGTGTGTTGTGCAAATGCTCCCCGCGCTCCTCCAGGGGCTGGAAAGGAGTTCATTTAACCTTCGGTTTGCTAGTAAAACTGAATGGCTGCGTCGCAAAATGATGGACTTCTAAAAAGCATGTCACCAACATGAAAAGTTTGGAAAGCTCTGCTTTACTGCTTGAAGGTTGTCTGATGTGTTCCTGTGATGCACTGCTGTTTTGGAGATAACCCTTGGCATCTTCAGCAGAGGCTGCTGCAAGGGTATGAAGACAAGCTGCAGCTTCACCCGACCTCAGTTATGCCTTCAGTCTTTACAGATCTTGAATGTGCCCTCCTCCTCCTTTGCAACTGTAAAGGCATCGATGAACCACATGGGAGCTATTAAAAACAAGAAGCAGATGATTTGGGAGTGATCAGACTCCCACTGCTTTACAGTGTGTTATGTGGTTGGGTGACACTGCTGAAGTTATCACATATATTTATGTATCAGTCAGTGGGTGGCTGTTGTTCACAGAGTCTGGTAGAGTTTAAGGAAGGAGGTCAACAGTAGGGGGAGCCAGAGCCAATGCGTGAGTTCAGTGTAGAACTGCTGAGTTCTGCAAGGGCAGAACTGGGGCTATAGAGGAGGAACTTGATAGGCATTGCTACCCTCTGGACTGGTTGTCAGAAGGCAGGGCTGGACAGGGCAGACCAAGGCTCACCCTAATGAACCACCCTCCAGTGGTATCTGCATATGTTAAACTGAAAACCTCAAACGTAGCAAATGTTAAATTCACATTTCAGAAGAGCAGCTGTGCTAGTCTGTTGCAACAAAAACAATAAAGAGTCTTGTAGCACTTAAAAACTAACAGTCCAAGATAGGTCTTGTGAATGGCACACTCACTCACACACACATAATTCATTATTCAATCCTATGTTTTTCAAACAATCGCCAGCATTTTGGAGTTTGCAAACATTCCCAGCATTTGCCTGAGGGCTGTTAACCTTCATGTGAATGTCAGCATTCACCATACCTCATACAACCACAGTTATTGTAGGCTGAGAGAAAATATTAATGACACACTACACTGAATCATTTATTTGGAACATTTTTACTACCTTCTTCAGCCAAAAGAGGGGGGCCCTTGTTTTCCTTCTTTGCCTCGTTGTAGAAACGCCTCACCATCAAATATATCTCCAATTATACAGTTCCAAAACTGTAGGATTGAGAACTATCCCTGCTGAGTATTCACATAGGTAAAGAAATCCCATATTCCCCTTGTTTATGGACTACTTATGGACTTATTTGGATGGGAAATTCCCACACTCTCCTCGTCTATCTTTCCATTCTAAATGTCCAATGGCTATGCTCACTCCTGCTTGTCTGGTGGCATGTTCCATGGAATCAGTGGTTTCCTGTGCTTGGTTGCCTTTGGAAGGAGGTCACAAGAGATTTGTGATGTTTTGTAATATTTGAATTTGTCTACAAGTTGAGCATAGCTGGAGTTTTGAAGTGCCTAAGGTCCTCTGCTGCCACATGGGATTGATGCAGAGAAACAGCCAGCCCACCCAAATACAGTTTGCTTACAAACCCCAAGTCAGTTTTCTATGGGTCTCTCCAGACCAGGGGTCAGCAACCTTTTTCAGCCATGGGCCGGTCCACCGTCCCTCAGACCATGTGGTGGGCTGGATTTGGGGGGGAATGAACGAATTCCTATGCCACACAAATAACCCAGAGATGCATTTTAAATAAAAGCACACATTCTACTCATGTAAAAACACGCTGATTCCCGGACCGTCCATGGGCCGGATTGAGAAGGCAATTGGGCCGCATCCAGCCCCTGGGTCTTAGGTTGCCTACCCCTGCTCCAGACTCTTTTGTGGGGGCAGGGGAGTATTTTGTGACACATCATTGATCTAATCAATGTAAGCACATTACTGGTGGTTTATACTAGACCCTCCATTCTGCTTTATAATTTGCTTTCCCCAATGTTACCATATTATTGCCAACTTCTGCACTATCCTGCAACAAAAGCAAGGGACAGGAATAAACCCCAAACCCAGAATATTTATGGGATGAAAAATGTTTGTTTCTTCTTCTGACAATTTTCTTGGTCTACTCTGAAGTGATGCTTTTGACCTTTAAAATCTTAAATGGTTTGGACCAAATTATTCAAAGGTCCATCTCACCTCTACCTTGCCTCACTTGCCCATCTCTGAGAGCATATAGGTTAGACAGGAGGGAGACAGGGGACCATGTTGCTTCAAGGGGCTGATAGGAGTTGTAGTCCAAAACAGCTGGAGGGCTCCAGGCTGGCAGGGGTGGTAAAGACTCTCTTCTTTTCACTGGCTTTTTCCTGAGTTTGATCTTCTTTTCAATTGTTGGTTGGCTTTGGCTGTAGTTGAGTACTGGATTGTCTTTTTCAAAGAGGGTGGATGCTTCCTTGCATTCTTTTGCCTTTTCTAACTGATATATATCTGCAGCTGTATTATATAGCTTCAAACTATGTAACATCCCCCGGGGTGGGGTTCCACCCTTAAGAAAGGGCTAAAAGTATTTTAAATAACTACATAACCATGAAGCAAATCAAGGCAGCATAATAGAAAGCTGCTCCTCCACTTTGACGATATGGATCAAGACTTTCTTTCTTTCCTTCTTTCAAACAAACAAACAAACAAACAAACACCATAATCCTTTCTTTCTGTTCCACTGCTGGACCAGGGTTATGCCCGCCTGCTCCTACGCTTGCTGCCGGCAGGGGCCGCTGCAGGGCAGGGAGCGGCGGGCGAGTGGCGCGGCAGGGCGGCGAATAACCTGCAGGGGGCGCCTCGAGCTCGCGGGGCGGCGGGCGCGTATTGCAACCCGAGCCTGGCGAAGGCGTGGCGGCCGGCCGGGGGCGGGCTGGAGCGGCCGGGGCAGAGCAGAGCCAGCCGCGGCATCCCGCAGTAGGAGCTGCGCCCTCGCCAGCCTCGCCATGCAGCCCCAGCCGGCTCTCAGCGTCAACCGCGGCCCCGCAGGTGAGACGCGGCGGAGATGAGCTGCTCGGGTCTGCTCTCGGGTGCCTCTGGAAGCTGGGAAGTTCAGCTGCCTGGGTGGGAGGGAGGGAGATTGGAGACGCGCCCACCTCCGAGGGTCCAAACCGGGGGCTGGGAGCCAGCCTCGACCGGAGGGTTGTGGGGAGATTTAGGACAGGCAGAAGTAAGGACTTAAACTATGGAACTCGCTGCCGCAGAAGGCAGCGAGTGCCCCTGTATTGGGTGGCGTGGCATTAAAAGAAGATTGAGCTAATATATGGAGGGGAAGGCTATCGCTGGCTTCTATCGAGCTCTCTTTTGCAAGCGAAAGTTTATTTTCTCCTGCTCTGGAGGGTAGGTCTGGAACCAATGGCTCCAAGTTACAATAAAGGAGATTCCGACTAAACATACGGGGAAAACTTTTGTCAGTAAGAACTGTTCGACAGTGAAACAGTCTCCCTCGGGAGGTTGTGGACTCTCCTTCCTTGGTGGCCATCTGTCATAGGTGCCATAGCTGAGTTTCCTGCATTGCAGGGGGTTGGACTAGATGACCCCTGGGTCTCTTCCAACTCTATGATTCTATAATTTGTTTATATATTTATTCCGAATACCGGTTGCTTAACACCACAGGAGGGGACAGTGCTGCTCTTATGCTCAGGTCCTGCTTGAGGGTTTCACAGAAGAGGCACAGAAGAGACCAGGAGGCTGGACCAGATGGGCCCCCTTTGGCCTCATCCAGCACTGCAGGGCTCTTCTGGTGTTCTTACTCCTCTGCAGTGAGGCTCTCCCAGGGCAGACGTCTGCCCTGTCCAAGGGGTGGATGGAGGGTGATGGGGGACAGGAATCCAGAGCCGACCATTTTAACCAGCCCTCCCCAGGGAGAAGAGGGGGTCTCCCCAGTGTTTCATTTGCCACAGTTGGAGCTACTGTCTTGCCTCCGGGCCCCCTGACATCTCCAAGCACAGACTAGGCTCCTGCCTGAAATCCTGGAGAGCTCCTGCCAGTCAGTGTTGACAGTGCTGAGCTCAAATGACTCAGTCGAAGGGGGGCTTTCTGTCTTCCTCCTCCATCGCTCAGAAGACTTCCTTACATCCCAGGTGACACCATTTCTTCCTGATGGTGTCACAGGAAGATGGGGTTGTATCAGGGATATAACAGCAATGCTCCTTGATTTCCCATAAAATTTCCTTCTTCCCTTTCTTTCTGGGGATTGGAGAGCAGGGAGGAGAGAGGAAGGAAGGTTGTTCCACCTTTTTTTTCTTATGTATCTATTTAATTTATATGCCACCTTTTTCTCCCAGGAGCTCAATGGGGCATCCATGGTTCTCCCCCTCCTCATTTAATCCCCGCAACAACCCTGTGAGGTAGGTTAGGCTGAGAGGCAGTGACTGGTCCCCAGTGAAGCTCTCTCACAGGTCCTAGCCCAGCACTAACCACTGTGCCATGCTGGCTCTCTCTAGGGCTAAAGTGAGATTCCCAGCTGGGGGGCAGGTCCCCTTGCGTATGGGGAGTGGCTGGCAGGGGCTGCCCTGAACTGTGTACTATTAGCAGAGAAGGCTCTGGCCTCTAAGGTAATCCCTTTGTGGGAAAAGGTCCCCTGGAACCACTGGAATTCCCAGAGGTGCGTGCATCTTAAAGATGGCTTTTCATCCCAGTCTATAAAAGGTGTTGATGGGAAGCAGGTGTTTGCCACTGAGAGAACCCATTTCAGGAATCAAAACAAAACAGATATTCTCTGGCTGAACAGCCACCCATAGCTATAGGGAGATGCAAGCCTCAGAGTTTCACAAAATTCTTCAGGCTGTAGCAACTCCTCTATCTAGGCCTGCCACATACCCTTTTATATACTCTTTGTAAGCTGCTTTGAGGATTTCCAAGCGGCTTATAAATTTTATGAAATAAATATATAAATACTCTTGGCCACCCGTATTTTGGGAGCAAGATGGCAACTGGAGGATCTCCTTGTCTTGTGACATACACAATCCTCAACTCACTGAAAACAGGGGGTCTTAGCATAAATTGCTAGCTTAAAACACAGTTATGCGGGGATTTTTCCTCCGTTCAGATGGAAGCTGGTTTCAGGGGAAATGCGTCAGGTTGCAGTATTTTATAAGAAACGGCAGGATTGGTATGGCATATGACTAGTGTTGTGTGTAAACCACTTTCCAAACCCGCAGTAGGTGTACGTGGGATGCAGAGTAAACAGGTGCAGTGTGGTGCAATGGTTAGTGTGTCGGACTGGGGACCTGGGAGACCAGGGTTCAAATCCTCACTCCATCATGAATCTCACTGGGTGAGCTTGGGCCAGTCACTGCCTCTCCATCTAGCCCACCTCACAGGGTTGTTGTGAGGATAAAGCACACACCCACACACAAGAGAGGGAGAGAGCCCCGGTTGGTTTCAGCCAGACATTGGGCATTCAATGTGCCACCAGCCCCATCCTGTGCAAACAAACGCTCCTGGAGATTCAGCAGAGGTCCTCCTCCCCTTTCACTTTCAGTAAACTCTTGGAATTTTTTTTTTATTCAATGCCACCTGACCTACGCAGTTCTAGGAAATGTTCTCAAGTAGCCAGTCATTGTGATGATTGTTCCCTATGGCTTTTAACAGGGGGAGTGGCCTGGCTCTTACTTTATTTATTTACCACGAGTATTTTTATAGACCTCCCTCTGCTAAAATTATCAGGTGGTATACAGCGATATGAAAGTCGGCCAGGCCTGAGTCTTACCATGGGAAGAGGAATATTTGTCTTTATTTGGTCCCCTCCTCATCTCAGAGGTTGGTCTTGGTGTATTGAACACACAGCACAAATGCAAGGCTGTGGGTTTAAGAACAAAACAGCTCTAGGAGTAGGAAGAAGGGGCCAGCAAATGTCAGAAGGGGCATGGGGGGGGGAGACCCCTTTCAGGGAGGCTACAGCAGTGGAGTGCCAGCATTGGCAAAGGGTTGGCCTAAATGTCCTCTGAGGTCCCTGCTGACACTGTGTTTGTATTATTAAAGGCTCAACGGGTATCTGTGGCTCACCTGGGGCCTCTGACAGTTTAAACAGGTTTGTGGCTGGTTTTAGATGTGCAGCAGAGGTTTTCTGATTAAGCCTGCCATGAGAACGTCAAAAGAGCCTGCTGGGTCAGGCCAAAGGGGGCCTTCTGGTGCAGCATCCTCTTCTTCCTGCAGCCAACCAGAAGCTCCTTACGGGGAAAGGCTCGAGCAGGACCTGAGCACAAGAGTCTTCTCCCCCCCCCCCCCCCGTGGTTTCCAACAACTGGTATTCAGAACTATTACAGCCTTCTAACCTGTGCGCAGGATATTGGCATCATGGCCAGTAGCACTGACAGCCCTCTCTTCCTCGAATTTGCCCAATCCTCTTTTAAAGCTGCCTAGGTTGGTGGCCATCACTGCCTCCTGTGGAAGTGAGTTCCACAGCTTAGCTATGTGCTGCAGGAAGAAGGACTTTCTTTTGTTTGTTCTCTTCTGAGTCTTCCAACGTGTATCTTCACTGGGTGTGCACAAGTTCTAGTGTGATGACTGTCTCAACGCTATGTGCAATTTTATAAACCTCTGGTCTGGATAGCTCAGTTGGTTAGAGCATGGGGCTGATAAAGCCAAGGTTGCAGGTTCAATCCTTGTATGGGGCAACTACATATTCCTGGGCTAGATGATCCAACTCTGCAATTCTGTAATTCACCTCTGACTCACCTTTTCTATGAATGAAAAAGTCCCTAACGCTGCAACCTTCCATCATAGGAAGAGTTGCTCCATCGCCTTGATCCTTCTGCTTGACCTCTTCTGAACCTTTTCCAACTGTACAATATCCTCTACAACAGGGGTGGCCAACTCTCAAGAGACTGAGATCTATTTTCAGAATTAAAAGCTGGCAGTGATCTACCACCATTTTGGGGGGGATTCAGCTCAAAGTTGTTGAGCTTTTTCAGGGGTTAAAAATAGCTTTTTTGGGGAGGGGAACTTCCATGGGGGGGGGTTAAAGGCAAGGGACAAAGGGGTAAAGTCACTCACAAAAAGATTGCTATGGATGAAAACAGCAGCACAGAGAAAGCTCCGTCTTCCCTTCTAGAGATCAAATAACAATGGAGGGCAGGGCAGGAGTCAGTTTTAGTGACCCTAAGGAAAGGGAACCAGAGATCAGCCACAATCTACCAAAACTTCCCGGGGATCTACCAGTAGATTGTGATTGACCTGTTGGACATCCCTTCTCTACAACAGTGTTTTTGCACCTGGCTTTCAACCACTTGCATAAGGGACGCGGGTGGCGCTGTGAGTAAAACCTCAGCGCCTAGGACTTGCCGATCGCATGGTCGGCGGTTCGAATCCCCGCGGCGGGGTGCGCTCCCGTCGTTCAGTCCCAGCGCCTGCCAACCTAGCAGTTCGAAAGAACCCCCGGGTGCAAGTAGATAAATAGGGACCGCTTACCAGCGGGAAGGTAAACAGCGTTCCGTGTGCTGCGCTGGTTCGCCAGATGCAGCTTGTCACGCTGGCCACGTGACCCGGAAGTGTGTGCGGACAGCGCTGGCTCCCGGCCTATAGAGTGAGATGAGCGCACAACCCTAGAGTCTGGCAAGACTGGCCCGTACGGTCAGGGGTACCTTTACCTTTACCTTCAACCACTTGCAACCAAGTGAAGATGCCTGGGCGCCAAGATAGCACCTGACATCTCCACCATCTGGAGATCATTGGATCTGGGTTGTTTTCACACACCAATACCCAATCCTGAGGATTCTATCAGTTATATTTTATCTGTACAATGGGAATGCGTTTCTGGAACCAAAATGCTTTTTCTGTGCAGCCTGAGCCAGAACAGATACCATTAAAGAAAAAGAGGTTGAAATAGGCCAATATATATGTGGGCTTTCCCGGTTTCAAGTCACTTTTTTTCTTCTAAGTTGTCAAAGCTCTTAACCTAGCTCAAGGTTGCCATCTGAACTTGAAATATGTTTAACTGAGAATCACAGTCAGTCCATCATCTGAAAAAGAAGACTTTAGAGCCGTCTTGGCCACAAATGGGAACTAGACGTTCCTTTTTTGCAACTCCAACCTTGGCTTAAGGAGCCACTGGGTGCCTAGCTTATATATCTGAGTTTCTAACACTGCTCTACAATATCCAGTGCCTGCAATATCCTTGCTTTTTGTTTCCCCCTCCAAAGTGTCGGCCATTAGCATGGCGCCTGCCAAGAAGATCAAGGCCAAGCTCAAGAAGACATTGCCCGTGACCGGCCCCCAGGCGCCCACCTTGCGGGAGCTGATGCACTGGTACTGCATGAACACCAACACCCACGGCTGTCGGCGCATCGTGGTCTCGCGGGGGCGCCTGCGCCGCTTCCTGTGGATCCTGCTCACGCTGACCGCTGTGGGACTGATCCTGTGGTACTGCACTCAGCTTGTCCTCAACTACTACAAAGCCTCTGTCTCTGTCACGGTCCAGTTCCACGCACTCCCCTTCCCAGCCGTCACCATCTGTAACATCAACCCCTACAAGTAAGTGAGGCTCAGCATCCAGGAAAGCTTCCCCCAAGCCTGCCAGTGGACAGGGACAGCGAAGGGTCAGGCTGCTTTCAGCACAGTCCTGCTCAAGAACTTGGAATGTGGAGTCAGGGAGATGACTCCTTGGGTGGAATAAATAATGGCAACTTATAATAGCAGCATTTAATTATTATTTGGAGTGCTCAGAGAGCTCCAATTCACAGTTCCCCGCCCTGGTCTTTAAGATCCCCTAAAGCAGCCCTGCTGAGTGTGCAGCCCTCACCTGTGGAACTCCCTGCTTAGGGAGGCCTCTCCGGCCTCTTTGGGGAAACGAGTAAAATCATCTTTTAGGAGGGATTCTTCTTTCTCTTGAAAATGCCCAAAGTAGGAAATGTTGCCCTGCAAACCTGTGACACAAGGGTGGCGGTTGCAGCTGTATTTTTGTTAACAATCTCTTTGGACTTGTTTGAGAATTGCCATGGTGGAATGTCATGTATTTTGTGTCTTGTGGTTTGTAAGACACTCTGAGAGTTTTGAATAATAATAATATTTCCATTGCAATTTGCATTGCATAGGATCATGCCCTGAGGGACTTGTACAATAAAATAGTAACAAATGTTAATCACCCCAGAAATATTGACAATAACCCTGCAAAGTAGGCTACTGTTAAATGTCCAGCTTGTGAACCTGATCCCTATGGGGCTTGTGTCATCTTGCTGCTGGACTATGGGAGTGGGTGGGGTGATTCATCGAAAAGTGGCGTTTTATGTTCTTGTTTGTTGGGTTGTCACAGTAAGTACAGTCCATCAATCCAATTTAAACATACCTATTGATATAAGCAGATCTTATGCCCAAATAGATATCCAAGCAAGGTGGGTGATTATAAGACATACTGCCTAGTGTCAAAAGTGCAGGAAGATCTTTGGACTGTTGAGTGATGAGTGGCAGCTGTTTATCCTTCCCACTTTGAAGCACAAGTCTGCTTTAAAATAATCGTGTGTCAGTCTTGGTCCTTGAGCCCAGTGCTGGGCTGAGTGGATGCACCCAGATCCTGGCTATCTGATTTTAACAGCCCCCCCCCACCGCTCTCCTTGTAGCAAAAGATCTTGCCCCCTGTAGCAACAAGATCCCCTGTCTGTCTCCCGGTAGGTACAGTGCCATCAAGAAACACCTGGCCGAGCTGGACAAAGAGACAGAGAACGCGCTGAGGTCCTTGTATGACTTTTCTGGAAGTAATATCAGGGAGCGTCGTGATGCTGGTGATCCTGAGCCAAGTGAGGACAGAAAATTCCACAGATACTTTCCCTTGAGGAATTTAGACAACCTCACTCACCAGCAGCCTTTTCCAAATCCCTCCTCTGGTCCCAAACGGCGCATGGAGGCCAACATCATTTCGGGCGGCTCCAGCATTGTCAGCGTCAAGAACCCTCAGGATATTGTGGGATTCCAACTGGTGAGTCGCCTTGCTCTGTGGCCTATGGGAGAACCCGTTGCAGCTCTGTTGAGTCGGATGCCAGCCTTACATTTGGGGCTGGCGTGCTTGGCACAGGCAGGAGGGAACTCTAGGAGATGGGGAGCCCCATGCAGCGCCTTTGGGGCTTCTTCTGAATCATTTTCCATCCCCATGGCCACAGCCTTCCTCAACCCAGTGCCTTCCAGAGGTTTTGGACTAGAGCTCCCATCAGTCCCGGCATGAAGTGGCCATGTGGTGCTGAGGCTGCTGGGAGATGTAGTCCATTTGGAGGGCAGTGGACAGGCTTGTGAGCTCAACAAGTGCCCTTCGCAGGCTCAGACCTGCACCTTGGATTGTGCCCAGAACTTCACCATAGGAAAAGGTGCCACTTGCCTCCTGAAATGTGGCTGGTGGCAGCCTATAGCCTGGAGTGAGTTGGGGGCTTTCCTGTTGTAGCCCCTGCTCAGCGGAAGCCCCTGCCCGGCAACCTTGGTTGTTCTCCACTTTGGGCATCTCCAATTGAGGCAGAAAGCAGGTTATAAATCCTACTGCAAACAAATATAAATACTGTATACACATTAATTAGCTCAACAAACAAATGCGACAAGGTGTCCCTCCTGTCTCACAGTTGAATATGTCTTGCCTGCAGAGTTACGAGTCACTTGCAGTTCCAAGGCTGGATCAGAGAGATTTTCTTTCTGGGTCCAGGCATCTGAGGATTGTGCTCATGCCTTTTCTCTCTTTCTGAACAATTATTGTCATTTTATTTGTTGCATTGATATCCCACCCTTTTTGTCCAAAGTGTACGTGGTCCTCCCACTCCTCATTTAATGCCCAGAACAAACCTGCGAGGCACGTTAGGCCGAGAGGCAGTGACTGGCCCATGGTCACACCTAGTGAGCTTCATGGCTGAGTGTCAGGATTTGAACCCTGGTCTCCCGGGTCCTAGGCCAACACCTTAACCACTGCACCACGCTATTCTGTGCTGAGCCACCTACCTACTTCCACACTGCAAGGCAGCGTATGCATCTGTGGGGCAGCCCCTCGGCCTGCCTGCTTGCCTGAGCCCCTGCTTTCTCTTCCTTCCAGTGTGACTCCCACAACAAGAGTGACTGTGCCCTTTACACCTTCAGTTCGGGTGTCAACGCCATCCAAGAGTGGTACAAGCTGCATTACATGAACATCATGGCCCAAATCAGTGCTGAAGAGAAAGTGAACATGAGCTACTCGGCAGAGGAGCTCATCTTGAGCTGCTTCTTTGACGGCCGTTCCTGCGATGCCAGGTCAGTCACTGGGAACAGAGCAGGGGGCAGAGCATGCTCCAGCAGCAGAGGTGGAACATATCTAATGCAAATTAAAAGTGCTTTAGATATGGGAAGTTTAATAGGGGCTTTTCTCTAGCATCCTTGGGGAGGCCAGACAGAAGTGAGATACGCACCAAATTGGCCTTGTGCAGTTGGACAGGTGTTGAATGCAGAGCTCTCTGGCCTCACGTGTGTCTTTTTAAGGACCACCTCTCAAGCCTTCACGGTTTGTGAAGGTCGGTGGCTGGAGCAGGTTTTAGCTGAGTTCTTTTGCTGGTGAACCTCTGAGTACAGAAGCCACGAGGGCAGTGCCCTTTCTGCAGCAGTGTCCAAAATGTGGTCTCACCCATGAGCTTAGGACTGCAGATATGGATGTTTCTGCATGGCAACCCACCTGGTCTGCCTTGTGGTTTCCAGGTGGCAGCTTTACAGCCCACCCTCTGGGATCTGCCTCCCCAAAGCATCTGTTTCCCCATCAATCCGTGGGGAGAACAGGGCTGTTCAGGTTCGCAACTGGGTAGTGGTGAGTCATGCCAAAGATCTTGCCATTGCAAGCGGAAGCCTAGTCGTCACTCGGCTCAACCCACCATTCCTGCTTAGCCACTTGTTGCATTAACCCATCCTTCCCCAATCTGGTGCTCGCCAGATGTTCTCAGTGGGAACCATATACCCTTAAGATGTTGTTGTTGTTGTTACTCATTAAACTTATTAGTTTCTCTTTTTTTAACAGAATAACTCAAAGTGACTTAGAACAGCAAGAGAAATAAATAACACATACCAGTACATTATGTCAGGGATTCCTTTGTTGTGATTCCTCCATTGCAGAGGTTTGGACTAGATGTCCCTTGGGAGATCCTTCCAGCTCTACGATTATATGATTCTAATATCAGCATAAAACGAAAACCTAAACCTCATTCATATTTTTAAAAGGCGGGACTGAAACATCCCACCCACCAAAGGAGGCCACAGATAATGAAAACCCAAAGGTCTAGCAAAATATAAATGTTTTTTGCCTGGCCCCAGGGTTAATTCTTGATGGTGCCAGGCATTCTTCCCTGTGGAGCCATCACTGAGAGGGGCTGTTCTTGTGTCGACACCCTCCACACCTCCCCCAGAAAGATCCCTCTTTGCTGATTCCCACTCCCCATGACATTTTTTAAGAGTTGGGCATCACCCAAATAATTTCAAAACTAACTCTTTGTCCTTGTCTGTTGGGAAGCTGAACAAAAGTCCCTGCAGAAACAGTTTCTTTCTAATGCAGTTCATGTTAATTGGGCAATTTAAGCTCTTTTGTTGAGTTTATCTACAGTAGGTGGGGCAAAGTGCTTTTAAAAAATAAATATGTCTTTGGTCGGCGCCAGGAACTTCACAACATTCCACCATCCGATGCACGGGAACTGCTATACCTTCAACAGTGGGCAGAACGGAAGCATCCTGAACACAACCACCGGAGGCAGTGAATACGGTAAGGGAGCCCTCCAGACAGTTTGCCTGCTTGATCTCACTTGTGAGTGGGTGTGGGTGGGCCTAGATTCTTGTCCTGAGCTCTGTAGCCACTATCCAGAGTTCTAAGAGAACATGTCCACTCGATCACTTCAACTAGCAGAACTGATCCTGTTACAGATGCCACCTAACACCCACTCCACGTTTGCAAGAAATCAGCCTTTCCTTGTGGCAGCACCTACACTCTGGAAACTCCCTGCCTATTGATATCAGCCAGCCTTCACTGTACTCTCGTTGGCACCTGCTAAAACCAGTTTTGTTTAGGCAAGCCTACCCAGACATGTAGAATGTGGATGTATGTTTTAATCTGTTTTAGTTTATTGCTGTTTTCCTCTTTCAAATGTTGTCAAGAGTTGCTTTTAGTGATAACTTTGTTGTTTTTTCTTCTTTGCAAACTGCTTTGAGGAGTGTGTGTGTGTGTGTGTGTGTGTGTGTTTTACAACCAAGCAGTGGATAAATTTTATGGGGGGAAAACCTAACTAGCTAACTAAGAGAAGCCTACAAAGTCCCAGCTGCATCCAACCGCTGCTCCTCCCGCCCTGCCCCCTTCCTCCCCTCCATGGATAGTCTTACCTGACCTGCATCTTGCATGCAAGCCTTTTTTCCACTATTAAGATTTGACATTTGAAATATTACTTGTCTGGGTAGCTGGTCCCTAGTGGCCTGGTGTGAATCTGTATGTGTACCCCTACATTCCCCCCGAAAAAAGCACTGCTCTTGAGGGGCTTAAGTTCACAATTTTTAAGCAAATACACATTAGAGGATTTCCTGTACCAGTCGCTGCCACTTTAGCTGAGACCTTCTTGCTTGTAAAGGACCTCCTTTCCCCTGGTAAATCTGCCCAGACCTGGACATCAACACCTGCCACCTCCGAGGGCGTTTCGGAGGGTGCTGATGAGAGAACAGGGCCTTCTCTGCTGTAGTTCCCTGTCTATGGAATGCTCCTTCAGGGAGGCTCGCCTGGGGCCAAACCTGCTATCATTGGTTCCAAATGTGCTTTATTTTTGCCAGGCATTGGAGCAGCATCACTGATACGATTCTACTGTTAGATCTGTTTTTATTAACATTTGCGTGATTTTTTTTTTTTTAATCGTTTAAAGATTTCGATTATGAATTGCTTCAGGTCTTTTGTAGTGGAAAGCAACATAGAAATCTAATATACCCAGGTTTGCGGCTGACCACTGTTTTTTACTGCCAAGTAATTGCCTGGCTTTGCCCAAACTCAGCAGACTGATCTGTCTGCCTGCATTACATTTTTGGTTTTTACATTTTGATTTTTACATTTTGGTATGGCTAAATTTTTCGCTGCAATTTTTTTTAAAAAGATGCATTAGTTTATTTTGTTAGCTGCTTCAGGTGCTGCGCAGAGAAACAAAGGAGAGAACGGGAGACACAATAGTTTAGCTGGCAAGTCTCATCCCGTGTGCCCTGACTTTTTTTGGCCCCTGTCCCCACAGCACCTTCTCCTCCTCTTCCTCCGGAGCCTCTCTTGGTCCCGTACCTTCCACTAGACTGGCCTAATCCTGCGCTCCTTCCTTTACACAGGGCTGCAGGTGATCCTGTATATAAACGAAGCAGAGTACAATCCTTTCTTGGTGACGTCTACGGGAGCCAAGATAGTGATTCACGGCCAGGATGAATATCCCTTCATCGAAGACGTCGGCACTGAGATAGAGACAGCCACAGCCACCTCCATCGGGATGCACTTTGTGAGTGGTGGTGCTGGAGCAGATGGGCAGCAGTCACCCTGGGCAGATTCTGCTCTCGTGTGCACAGGAAACCACCCTCCCAGCATACGGCTGTCCAGTGCTCAGAGCTTTCCAAACTTTTCATGTTGGTGACATGCTTTTTAGACATGCATCATTTTGCGACACAGTAGTGCAGTTTTACTAGCAAACCGGGAGGTTAAGCTAACCCCTTATAAGTGATACGGACACATACATAAATTGTAATACAGTGGTACCTCAGGTTAAGAACTTAATTCGTTCTGGAGGTCCATTCTTAATCTAAAACCATTCTTAACCTGAGGCACAATTTTAGCTAATGGGGCCTCCCACCGCCGCGGCGCAATTTCTGTTCTCATCCTGAAGCAAAGTTCTTAACCTGAAGCACTATTTCTGGGTTAGCGGAGTCTGTAACCTGAAGCGTCTGTAACCTGAAGTGTCTGTAACCCGAGATACCACTGTAGTGTGACACATTTACACACTGAGCTGACATACTAACGTGTCGCAACACACACTTTGGAAAGCTCTGCCCTGGCTGGAGGTCGTTTTGGAGGAGACTTTCTTTGCCATGTTCTTTGTCTTGTGTGGCTGTGACTAAGGGTCAGGGCTGCATTAAAAGGAAAAAAAGATCTGAACTTGCATGGCCGATGATGGGGGCTGGAGTCCAGCAATACCTGGAGTACCACAGATGTTCACTCCACCCCCAAAAGTGAAACTATGAAGTGTCTACCCAATGAAAGATTAGATATACATAAGACATTGTCAGGTCTTATGAGGGAGTTCATCTATACTTCAGGGGTACAACATCTGCTTCAATCCCGGCCATTGCCAAGTATTTTTTTTATTTATTACAGATCTTTCAGGATGTAAATCCTGCCAAACCTCCTTTGGGATGCCAGGCCTGGCTTCAGCCTCTTGGGATAGTAAATCCTGATAGCACACAATAGAGTGCATCTGAGCATGTGCAAAGTGCCTTTCCAGCACCCACACATCTGGGATTAAAGGAAGAAGCACAAGCTCAACCCAGGATGCCTCTTCCCTGCCCCACACGCCCCTCTCCCATCACACACCCCACCTTGGCAGGCTCATACCAACAGAGTTCTTCCTTTCTATCCCACAGACAAAGTCCAAAAGACTCGGCTATCCATACAGCAACTGCAAAGAGGACGGGTCTGACGTCAATGTGAAGAAGCTATACAAGAACAAAACCTACTCTTTGCAGGTGAGGCATGTGCGGTGGCCGGGGTGTGGGACTGTGAGAAGTGATCCCATGCTCTTGCACCCCCCCCCCAAGGGATACGGGAGGGGGTTAAATTGCACCCAGGCAGCCTGGAGCCCCAGGACCTCTCTGCCTCATGGTTTTGTGCAGCCTGCACCAGCAACCGCAATGGTTCGGGCTGATGGAAATTGTAGTCCAAAATGACCATGCTGGCTGGGGGCTCATGGGAGTTGTAGTCCACAACATCTGGAGGGCACTGACAGACACCCTGCTTGATTTCTCCCCCTCGCAGACCTGCCTCCATTCCTGCTTCCAGAATGAGATGGTGAAAAAGTGCGGCTGTGCCCAGTACGCCCAGCCCCTGCCCGATAATGCCGAGTTCTGCAACTACAAGAAATATCCAGACTGGAGTAAGTCTTCCCATCACTCCACCTGCCCGCTCTCCTCAGGAGCTGGGTCAAAGGGCCCCCTTCCCCCAGAGGGGGCTTAAGTTTCTCTGAGACGTCTCTTTCCAGGAATGCATCCCACTCTGCCTTGAGTCCAATGTGAGCTCTTTGTTGCCATCCATGATTTCAGGAGAAAACGCCCTTCCTTGGGAAGCCATAGCTCTGGGCCTAAACCAGACTTTAGGCAAGAAGACGCTCCTGCTTCCCTCTCGCTTTCCACACACATCTGCTTACATGGCCTGCTGCCAAGCTGCCCTTCATCATCCATTGTCATCATCATGTTATTTGTATAGAATCATAGAATTGGAAGAGTTGGAAGGGGCCCCAAGGGCCACCCAGTGTCATGCAGCGCAGGAATCATAGTTGAAGGATCCCTGACAGATGCCCATCCAACCTCTGCTTTCAAAACTCCAGTGAAGGAGAGCCCACCACCTTCCGATGCAGTGGTGAACTTTGGGCTTTCAAATTTCAGTGGCAATGCCAAAATTCAGTGCCCGCCCCCCCGCCTCTCTGCCATTGTTGCAGTGTCCTCTCAGCTCAGCACCCAGTGCAGGTGAACCAGTCACGCTCCCCTAAATCCGCCTCTGTCCAAAGGCGCTAAGAGCTGTCCCCTGTCGAATAGCTCTTAGCGCCAGAAGGTTCTTCCTGGTGTTTAGCTGGAATCCCCTTCTTTAGTTGAAATCTCCTTTGTTATGCCACCCTTCCATGAAACGAATCGTGCCCAAAGCAGCTCTTCAAGCGGGAATTGCATCTCAGAAATCAGCCATCGCAGGAACAATTTCACAACAGCATCCTGAAACAACAACGTAACAGCAAATATAGCAACATACAAGAAAAACATTCACACCCATATTTTGGAGCTATAAATAAAGCCAGATTGCATTAACAAGATGACTCCGTTCTAGCCATACCAAAAATAGCAAGGAGGTTGGACCCGTTTCTCTTGGGTCCCAGGAACACCCCCTCTCCTTGATGTTGCTCACAGTCCCCTTCCTGCAGCAGCTTCTCAGGAGGTTTCCAAAGGCAGGAGCCCCTTGCTCATTCACAGCAGAAGGCAGGAGTGAAGGCCATGCTCTTGCCTTCTCCTTGCCCAAGATGCTTCCTCAACAAAGTGGGAGCTTGCCTTTGTCCTGAGACCTTTTTCCCCAGCCACGCTGGGATTTTGCAGGATTGGTGGAGGCTGCTGGGCTGCTCCTAACAGCCTCCCTTCTCTCTCTCTCCTCTTCCTCCAGTGTATTGCTACTACAAACAGCATGAAAAGTTTGTGAAGGAGCAGCTGGATTGCCAGGGGAGCTGCACAGAGGCCTGCAGGTAAGTTGTCCCCCCCACCATCCCTCTACCACCACCCCACAACTAGAATGCTCCAGGCTCCAGTTACACCAATGGCAACTTCCTGCATCCTTGACTTGGGTGGGTTTCCAAAGGGTGACAGGGCCGGGTCTTCTGCCATTGGGGTCTCCGGAGAAGCCATCAGGGTGCTGAGTCCTTCCCTCCCTGCTTGCTCAATGCCTGCCTTGCCTCCCCAGCTTGAAAGAGTGGACCCTCACCACCAGCCTTGCCCAGTGGCCTTCTTCAGCCTCCCAGGTGAGTGTCTCCCCCCCACAAGTCCTGTTTGCCTTGACCTCCCTTTGCCTAGGATGTGATGCTCTTTCTGCACAAAAGAGGGCTGCCCCCTTTCCTCCTTCCTGTTCATTTTATCCCTTGAAAACTTGGCTATAACATACCTGTCGACTGTCCCGGAAAAAGTGGGACACCCCGTTTTCTCTCTCAGAAAAAGACAGTGACCAAAATGGCTGCCGCGATCTCACATGATTTTGGGCTGCACTTTTTCAGGCATGGTGCTCGAAAGTAAATACTTTTGGTCACTGTTTCAAAAACAAAAACAGAAAAACCACTTTTGGGGGGGCATGAACAATGCAGGTCAAGTGATTTGTGTGAGAGTGCGGCCTTGGAAGATGGTGTCTTGTTTTTTGGCCTGTTTGTATTGTAAGGAATGCTATAAAGTTTTATAACAATAGATTGATCCAGGGGTTTGCAATAGGTAACACCTCCTCAGCTTAATTGCTGATGACATTGCCATCATGCTTCAAGATACAAAGAGTTGCCCTTCCACAAGTATGTTGAGAAAACTGGGATAAGTAACATCTAATTGGTTTTTTTTGAAAAATTCTTGATGTAATATAGTGCATTTTATCCTAGGTACTCCTTGTTTCAGTCATAGGTTTCAGTCATAGGTTTGTGTTTCTGTATATCTTGCAAGTCAGGTGTGCCCCACCCCTTGTTCTCTCGTTTCTTTTGACGGGACTTTTCACTTACCTTTCCGCATCTCATCGCAAGTATCTGGATAACGAGCTTTATAATTTCTTCTTGTGAATGTAACATCCCATGCCCGCCTGGGTTTGGTTTGGTTTTTACATATGTGTTTGTCTTGTGAAGTTCTATTCAATAAAAAATACTTTTTTAAAAAAAAGATCCAGAAGTTCTACTTCTGGAGGGAATTAATACTATAAATTATTTTGGGGTGGTGTCTTGTCTCCAAATTATTATTATTATTATTACTAATTATTATTATTATCCTATCAGACTGGGTGGCCCAAGCCAATCTGGATTCCTCCCAATACAATATTAAAAAATTATAAGATTAAAAACTTCCCTATATAAGGTTGCTTTCAGATGTCTTCTAAAAGTCAAATAGTTGTTTATTTCCGTGACCTCTGATGGGTGGGCATATAATAATAATAATAATAATAATAATTTTATTATTTATATAAACTGTGACAAATCCTTTTTCTGGAATGTGAACACCCCAAGACCCAATTAACTATTAGATTGTCCCCTGGAATTAAGACTTGTTCCACCTCCTTGCAGTATTCTAAAGAATCTGAACAAATTGTTTCATTTTTATTTTTTTTAAAGAATGTGCCCTTTCCATATGTTCACCTGTACAGGCACAAGATCAGATGCAAAGTCCTCTCTTATGTGTAAATCCTGCCCTACCCAGGGAGCTCCTAAACTCCATGGGAGGACCAGGCTAAGGGACGGAGGCAGGGAATTGGTTTGCAAGGAAAGAGCTGTGAGTGAAGCAGTGGAGGGCAAAAGTCAGACCCAGGGCCAGCTGTCAGCTAAGCTGGGCCCCAGCCTGTGGGGCTTCGAAGGGCCCCATCCACCCATGATTTTTAGTGCCTGGCACTTTTGAATAGGAGTCCAGGAGATGGTTACCTCCATCAAAGGGGCAGCGGTGGTGGCTGCCACATGCAAGGCTGGGCCCTACCCTAGGCACTGGGGCTGGTCCTTGTCAGCACAATTTTGAGGGGGCCCCAAAGCCCTGAGGAGAGGGGGGTGGCAAATGGGAAGGACAAGATCACAGAGGAGACCACACAATTGTCCTGCTTGTGTGTTTCTTCCCTTTGGGGCATCGGGCAAGCCACTGGGAGAACAGGAAGCTGGACTGAACTTCAGGAAGAAGTTTCTGAGGGTCAGAGCTGTTTGACCGTGGAACTGATTCCCTCGGAAGATGGTGGACTCTCTTTCATTGGAAAGGGTGGATGGATTATCTGCCAGGGATTCTTCAGCTGTGATTCCTACACTGCAGAGGGTTGAACTAGATAGACCTTTGAGTACCTTCTAACTCGATGATTTTGTGACTGGATCCTTACCCAGCGGCACGGCTTTTCTGATGTTTGAGCATGTTCAATTAATTCTGGCTCTCTTCTTTTAAAGGACTGGATGCTGAAACTTCTGTCATGGGATAAATGGAACAACCGCGGTGAGACCTTTAAAAAGTAAGTCCCCCCCCCCCACACACACACATCCCATAAGAAGCCAGGGCTGCCCGTCCTAGGTGAGACACTGTTGCTTCCCAACCAGCCCTGCCTCATCCAGCTCCACTTCTCCTTCTCTCCCCCCTCCCCACAATTTATTTTCTCAGGGAAGACCTGGCAAACCTTGTGGTGTTCTACAAAGACTTGAACGAGAGGGAAATCAAGGAGAATCCAGCAAATGATGTGAGTGTTGCCTTTGGCCAACTTCTGAGTAGCCCCTTCTGGGAGGACACTTGCCAAGAGGGGCTTCTCCACTCAGGCTCAGGAAGGAGCTAAAACTGGCACTGTTAAGGGGAATCATCTCCCCATGGGCTCCAGCCTGGCTGTGTTGGTGGAGGGAGGCAGGAAGAGGGATCCATTTCCACCACACCTGCAGATTTTGCCCTAGTGTGGTGGAGAGAAGAGCCACAGCTCCATGGTTGTAGAGCACCCTCTTTGGAAGCAGAAGGCTCCAGGTTCAATCCCTGGCAATGTTTCCAGGTAGGAAGACACATTGTGAAGCCCTAGAGAGCCACTGCCAGTCAGTGCTGAACAAGACAAGCCACTTATCTGGCTTAGTAGAAGGCAGCATCCAACAATGGCCATCATTCAGGGGCCATTTGCTTTGCACGAAGAAGGTCCCATGTTCAGTCCCAAGTGTTTTCTGGTAGGGTTGGGTGGGGCAAGGAGACAGTGGAATAGAGAGAGTGTCCTTTCAGTGGCCAGGGGAGCCTTCAGTGGTCCATGGAGCACCCTGGGATTATCAGAGGCTGGGGTTTCCATACAGGGAAACGCTTCTCCGTGTAGAAATTAAACCCTGCCAGGAAACCCCCCCCCAGGGGAAAACTGGTGACGAAGTGCTCCCTCTGTCCCTTTCCAGCCCGTCATTCTTGTCTCCAACATTGGGGGCCAGCTGGGCCTCTGGATGAGCTGCTCCATGGTCTGTGTCATCGAGATTGTGGAGGTCTTCTTCCTCGACACCATTTGCATCATCCTGCGCCGCCACTGGCAGAAGGCCAAGAAGTGGTGGCGGGGCAAGAACAGGGAGCAGGAGGAGGAGGAGGAAGAAGAGGCAGAGGCAGAATCAACCGCCCCAAATGGCCTGCAGGGCCACGACAACCCAGCCTGCACTGCAGACGACGATGACCTGCCCACCTTCAACACAGCCATGCGCCTGCCCCTCTCGCTGGAGCACCCACCCCCCAGGACCCCCCCGCCCAACTACAGCACCCTGAGGCTGGCCAGCACCTTTCCAGAGCAGCTGGATGACACCCTGGAGGTTCGGACAACCCAGTGATGCCCTTGACCCCAGCAGGAAAGGCCGCTCCTTGGACTCGGCGGCTGGACTTACCCTCTGGCGGGACGGGGGACAGAAGCCGCTGCCCCAAACAGAACTGCACCTGCTCTGTGCTCTGCCATTCTGCTAGCCAGACACTTGATGCCGTTTCTGTATTAATTCCCCCTCTGCCCCTCGCTGGGGGTGAGCCAGGCTTTTTGCCGGGGCGGCTGCTGTCGCGATGCTCGGGTGTCCGAGGGCAGTTCCTGTCTGGAGGTGGGAGCTTAGTCCATGACCCCGGACCCCCCAGACAACAGCTGCTCACTCTGTGGCAGAGAGCTGTGACTTCTTAGGGAAAGGACAAGTCCAGCTGCACCTTGACCCTCAGGCACAGAAGATGGTTGTGGGTTCAGTAAGATCCAGGTTCCCTTTTGCTGTAGCTGAAAGCAGCTCCCTGGTTTCAGCTGGCCTGGAAGGGAGCTAAGTGCTGCCTTCAAGATTTTGCCTTTGTCCCAAAGCTGTAAAGGTTGGTTCTGAGAGCACACTCACAGAAGGAGCAGCCTTGGCTCTCAAGGGGTGCCTTTTAATCCTGCTTCTGAAAAGACCTGCACCTCCATGCCCAGCTACACCCACACATGCACCCCCAGCCCTGCCAGGTGCACTTATCGGGGTACATTTTGCCGCCACCTCCTCCCTTGCAAGGTCCATCCGCTGGAGGAGCTGATAATACTGGGGGGCAGGACACCCCTCAGTGCAAGCAGTTGGGAATCACATGTGGGGAGAGGGCTGCTGCTATTGTTGTGCTCAGGTCCTGCTTGAGGGCTCCCCATAGAGGCATCTGCCTGGCCACCGTGAGAAAAGGGGGCTGGACTCCCGACAGGCCCCCTTTCACCTGATCCAGGGCCCTTTGGATGCAGGGGCTGTGGCGGAGGTGGCAAGCAGGAAGGCGTGAAAAAAAAGACTTGGCTCATGTGCAATATATGGTGATGGTGTTTTTAAGCTTAATAATTTAACAACCAAGACCAACCCCTGGGAACTGTGGAAGGGGAGAAATGCCTTTAATAAAATATTTGTAAGGAACAGCCTGTGTCTGTGCATGTGTGATCTTTTGCCCGGGAAATCGGGTAGGGCTGGAGCTAAGGATCTTGGGGCCTCCCTGGAAGCTGAAAGGGACTCCTGCCAGGGTCCTTCCACCAGCCAGAGCCAATGAAGGGGTGCAAGCATGTGCCTCCACAAAGGTCCTGGAAACCCTACTCTCTGCTTTGCTTCAGTCATGAACCACTCTTCTGATGCTCAGCCTTGCCTCATTCCTGCTTTCAAACACATGGTGAGGTTGATTGATGGCAAACGAGGCAGCAGGGCTGACAGGTGTGGGATTCTCAGCTCAGGCAGGAGCTATTGTTTGCCCCCTGGCACCATCCCACTCTGGATGCTATTGCCTTGGCAGGCAGCATCATAAATCAAGGACAGGGAGACTGTTACCATTTCCAAAGAGATAGCGATGGAAGGGGGGGGTCTTACCTGTGTACACGTCACATCAGCCATGGTGGAGGGTGGCATGCCCAATTGCAGCTGAGGGTATGATGAATATTAGTGTCACTCAAGGGCAGGGTAAAGAAAGAGTCCCATCTCTCCCCCCCCCCATGGCCCTTGGAAAGCAGGGGGCAAACAGGGTCGCCTTGTTTTGTTCCTCAAGGCACTTTCTCTGCCCTTCTTCCAAAAAAATATCTGCCCCATCTAACTGCCAGGGGCTGTACTGATGCACTACAGGGAAAGGTGACGTGGCAGAGACATGGCACCCTGGACAGCTGCTGCTTCTGGGAGTTTATTTCAGGGAGTTCACACAGGGTCATGGATGTAAGAAAAGCGCCAGCCCCAGCCTGGTCCCTCCCTGGGCATTTTGCACATCTGGGGCTCTGTCAGAAGCCATAGAAGAGCCAGTCTTCTGAACTGCTACCTGCTCTCCTGATTTGAAAGGTGGGGCTGCCCCAGGAGCCTTCCACAGGTCCCGTCACTGGTTCAAAGTCCATCCTGGAACTCTTTGACTCGCTTCAGTAGGGACATCTCTGCCAGAAGGCGCTGGGATGTAACTCAGCTTGCAACACAGGCTGACAACATTTTCCACTGACTGCTTGGTCTTCCTTCAGTGCTAGGCTAATGCTTGCAGGATTGCTCAGCTCGTCGTTTCTTCTTCCTTCTTTGTCTTTACCCTGGGGGAGGAGAGATCTTTTGCATCTCTCCAGCTCAATTGAAAGACCAAGCAGGACTCATTGCGTTTCCTCTTAGTTAGTTACAGCTAGGATCTTTCCTATCACATATGTACAGCATATCTCCCAATAACTGTACCCCTCTTCTTTTCCTAAACTCAGAACCTCAGTGTAACAACATCCAAGGCAAAATGTGCTCATCCAGCTCAGCTTCTGTGAGTGTGTCAAGTCCAAACACCAGCCATCTCCAGGCCTATGGTCGATCAGGCCCTAAAGCAGAGGCGACGACACTAAAACTCCCTGAACATTGGTGCCATGACTATTTGGATAAACTAAACAATCAAATAACATATTTAATTTGCAGGGCAATCTTATTTTTTACTGGTAGACACAATATTCATAAACTCTTAAAATGCAAGTTGTTGGGACTTCCGGCGAGGCAGCATGGCGGCTGCAACAGCAGAAAAGAGCTCCTGAAGCCAGCCAGAGTAAAAGGCTCTGTCTGGCCGACTCCTGGGCTCCCAGGACTGCTGCCGCCAGCACCGCCAGCGGAGAGGAATCGGGGGTGCCCGGGGAGCCTATCAAAGGAGCCAAAACACCCCCCCCCACAGAGATTGAGCCGGAAAGACACCCGACCACCCCCCCCAACAGCCGAGAGGAGCTCCAAAACCAGGAGGACAGTGGAGCTAACGCAGAGAGGGAGAAAAGGGGGAAAGAAGAAGAAAAAGAAAGAAAGAAAAAGGAGCCCCAAACTTACCGCTGCTGCCCCCATCTCTGCTGACAAGAAAGCAGAGGAGAGGTAGGTGAGCACGGGAAGGCAAAAGAGGCTCCGGAAAAAACACGTGGCTGAGCCCCACCGGGAGCTCCAGCAGCAAGGAAAACACAGAGAAGCTGCATAACAAAGGGGATTTCCCCCCCTTTCTTTCTTTTCTTTTCTTTTTTTTAAACCCCCCCCCCTTTTTTTTAACCCCTTCCTCCCCTCCCTCCCCCCTTTAAAATATATATATATATATCTTTTTTATCCCTCCCCCCCCATATACCTACTTTTATCACTTTTCTTTTTAAAAGAGGGGCCACTGCTGCTGCAGCCACCCTTTATTTGAATCTTTATTTTTATTGCTATCTTTTCTACACACTATTTAAAGACACACTTTTCCACACACACACTCTGAATTCAAACCTCATTTTATTTCCACCTCAAACTCCCCTCTTAAGAACTAAAATGGCAGTACCCAGGAAACAGCCCTGAACCATCACAGGCCATTTCCTGGGACTGCCACTTCGCCCAGACTTTCCACTCTCTTTTACCTATCCTCTTTTACCTATACTTTACTCATTTTCTAAAATAAAATAAAATAAAAAGCTCTATCTATCTATCTATCTAAAGACAACCCCCCCCCTTTTTTAACCTTTAATTCTCATTTTTATCTTTTACCCGTACATTTTTAATTACTTTTTTACAAACAAAAAATAATAACAATAATTAGGGAGAAATATTATTATTATTATTTTTTTTAAAAAAACAAAACCATACAATTATTTTTTTTTCTCCCCTCTTTCTCTTTTTAAAGCCCTTTCTTTTCTATTTGTTGGCTTGTTCTTGAGGGGGGAATCTTTCGCCCCCAGCTACGACCACCACTCTCTTTTAAAACAAAAACTTCCTCCATATCACTGCTATTGCTATTGATACTCTCCCCTCAACTCCCCTCCTTTTTATTTTTCTCTCCCTTTTTTCTCTCCCCTCTCTCTCTTCACCCCTCCTCATTTTTTCCTTTTATCCCACCTTTCATTTCCCATCCCCAATTTTGTTCTCTATCCCTTTAATTTTTTTTAAAATCAACCCCCCCCCTTTTTAGCCTGTTCATCAGTTTGTTTTTGAGAGGGGAGCCCTTTCCCCCCCACCCCCTATTTTAAAATAAGACTTTCCCCCATACCATTGCAGCAGCTCACCCTCCCTCCCTCCCCTCTCCCCCTCTCTTTTCTTCTCCTTCCTTTTCCCACCCTTCCCCCTCCTCCTCTCCTTTCTCTCCCTCCTCCCTCTCTCCATCCCCCCCTTCCCCTAAAGGAAACACATACACACATTCATATCACCCTATCACAATTTGCCCCCCTCATACTATAGCTAAAACTACTGCTGCATTCTAATACCGCTGATATTACTGTACTATCTCTCCCCGCTCTTTCAACTCTCTTTTTGTCCCTCTCTCTCTCTTCTCTTTTACTCCAATCTCCCCCCTCCCCCCCGCCTCCCCCTTCTTCTTTCTTTCTTCTTCTTCTTCCCTTTTTTCTCCCTCCACCCTTTACATATAGCCTATTTGTCTGTCTCTGTTTCTGAGCGCACTCCCAACCCCAACTTCCACCTTAACTGGACCCCAATACCCCTTCTGGGCATATACAACCCCCTCCTAAACACATATTTCCCCTGACCCCACCCCTCTAATCTCTTGCATCTCTACCTGCTAACCCCCTCCCTTTATATGAACTGTCTGTCCGTTAATCTACCCATCTCTGCTTACCTGCCCCCCCCCACCTCGGCGGCACCGCTGAGGCATCCACAAAAGCCCTAGAGAAGTTCTTAAAACACAGGCTAGAAGTGACACAAATGACCACCTAATCCAAACGCTCTGTAGAAGCCACCAGCCAACAAAGCCTGATCAGCTCAGCAACCCAACAATACCCAGGAATCACCACTGCCACAACTCCTAACCACCACACGCCCTACCCCAAGAGGACGCCAAGCCAACCTCAAACCAAAACCATCAGGGAGACCGAGATGACACCAACCAGGGAGATGGCAAACAATGCTAAGATGGTAACTCCCCTTCAAGATGACGACCACCCAATAACGAAACGAGATCTGAGGGAAATGGAAGCAAGATTAGAAGCACGATTAGAAGAAACACTGAAGGCCACAATGGCTCCCATGCAGGTACTAATCAACAATCTAACCTCCAAAGTGGAAGCTCTAGAGAACAAGAACCAAATGCAAGAAAGAATAATAGAGCAATACCGGGAGGAGAACACACGTGTGAACAAGAAACTGGACGAACTGGTAAACCAAATGGAAGCAGAACACAGAGAGATGAAAATTAAGCAAGCCGACCTCGAAGACCGCAATAGACGTTGTAACATCCGCTTCCGCAACTTTCCTGAAAAAACAGAGGAGAAAAGCCCAGCAGACCTAATTATACGCTGGCTGAAAAACACAATCCCAAGCCTGAAACTTGAGGCAGATGACTTGGAGAGGGCTCACAGAGCCCTAAAACCTATGCCAAAACCCAGCGCCCCCCCAAGAGACATCATTGTATGCTTCACACGCTACAAAAAGAAGGAAGAGGTATGGAACCATCTCAAAAACTCAACCAACCTTCGATATGGAGAAACCCCCATTCTGGCCTTACAGGACCTTTCTCAGGATACCCTAAACCGGAGGAAAAGCCTGCGCCCATGCACCCAGCGTCTCCAACAAGCAGGGATCAAATACCGATGGGGCTTCCCCTTCCGCCTCATTGTAACAACCAATACAACACAACACATGGCTACCAACATACCTGAGGCCCTGCAACTACTAAAAAACCTTGAACTCAACCTCCCACCGGAATGGCAACCGACAAACCCACCAAGTGACAGCCCCAACCACGAGGAAACAACAGCAAACAACTGGACAACGGTACAGAAGAAAAAGAAACAACAGAAGCGGCACAACAACGCAAACCAATACAGGCAAGCATCATGCTCAGAACCGTCCCGCCGGCCATACGACACAAGAAACCAGACCAAGATCAACCAAACCAATTCATCGCAGATGGACAACCCTACAACAACAACAACCCCAGCTGAATGAAGCAACCAGGAAAAAACCACAAACTGAAGGACTGGTGACTCCCCCCCCTTTCCCCTCTCCCCCAAAAACATAGATTTAGTTAACACCATCAACATCCCCCAGCCCCGCACCCCCACAGGAATCCCCAACCCAACACCAGTCCAGACGACCTCAACCACATTCCCCATCACCCACACCTTCAACACCCCCATACTCCATACTAGGGAAAAACAACTCCCACAACCTTAATAACACAACCCACAATCAGGCTAAAATCTGATACCCAACCAGCACTATGGTGGCACCAGAGCGTACCAGCACCCACATCCCCACCCCAACACACCAATAATGTTGCTCATAACATTGGCAACATTGCTTATGAACCTTATACCTGACAGCGACGTTACAAAGTCACTTCACACTGTCTCACTGATCACCCCTATCGCAAACAACAGGGGGGATGGCCTGTCCTTGAACACGGCCTTCCACACCAGCTGAGACCTAGGACCAACTGGCTAAATGCCAGATGGCCTAAAATACCCCAAACAAACACCTATATGACTACATATAGGAAACTCTCTACAACTTACCCCCTACTCTTTAACCCAAATCTTACTCTAATCCCATTAGCCCCCACCCACCACACCCTAGGTCAGCGCAACCCCACTTTTTTAAACAACACGAAGAGAGAGACACAAGACAACCCGAATGGGTTGGCAAGGAATTGCCCCACATAATAGATAAGCAAGATGGCTAACCTAAAAGCAATTACATTAAACGTGAGGGGGCTGGGAAACCCCATCAAAAGAAAACGCATCACCTCATACATAAACACCATGAAACCACACATCACCTTCCTACAAGAAATACACAACCCACCCAAAGGCAGCAAACTCCTGAGCGACCCCCGCTTCAGTCAACAGTGGGTCGCACGAGGCTCAGGGAAAGCTCGTGGTGTAGCCATAATACTCAGTAGAGACCTGAACTTCACTGCCACAACAGTCCTCAAGGACAAAAGGCAGATTCATTTTCGCTAAAGGGACACTAGAAGGCAAAATCAAACTGACAATCGGCTCCATATATGCCCCAAACACGAAACAATTAGAATTCTTCCAGAAGACACTAAACAAATTCCTCTCCTTCTCTGAAGGAGAAGCAATCCTAGGAGGGGACCTCAATCTAAATATGAAAGGTATATCCCTGAAAGATATCCACCCCACAACCCCATGGGCAACCTTCCTCCGAAGGAAACCCCCAACAACCAGGAACTCTTACAAGTTACTAAAAATGCTAAAAAACAGGGGTCTCTACGACATTTGGGGTGAGCAAAACCCGGGAGACATCAGCCATACATTCCAATCAGGACGCCATGATACAGTGTCCAGACTGGACAGCATTCTACTCACACAGGGTCTGATCCCCTCAGTAGAATCAACAAACATAGGTAACATTAAAATCACAGACCACGCCCCAGTAGAAGTCATTGTTAAAATAGGAGAAGGAACACAAACCACCCCATCATGGTCCTTCAGTCCCATCCTAACTACAAACAAACAAATTAGAGAGAGTCTCACAAAAACCCTCCAAAACTACTTCAAAGAAAACGATGTAAACAATATAACAACCCCCCTCCTATGGGACGCAATGAAAGCGGTCACCAGAGGAGCTTGCATAAAAGAGAAAACATTCCTTAAAAAACAAACCTCCTCAAAAATTAGCAAAATAGAACAAGACATCACAGCCCTCTCATCACGCTACAAACAAACAGGATCTAAAAAACTCCTCAAACTTATAGAACAAAAAAGGAGAGAACTAGACTCCCTAGAAATTAACAAAACAATGATCAACATTCTATACTCTAAACAACGTTTCTACGAATATGGAGGGAAAAACTCCAGATTACTAGCAAATAGATGTAGGAAAAAAGCACTCAAAACAAGAATACACTGCATCACCAAAAAGACGGCAACATAACATTCTCCCCCAAAGAAATAACCTCAGAATTTGCAGAATTCTACTCCAACCTATACACCTCCCATAACCCACCAGAGAAGGAAATCAGAACATTTCTAGCAGGACTGACCATGCCTACCCTAACTAATGAGGAACAGGAATTCATGGACAGCCCTATCACCCCAGAGGAAATAGATGCGGTCCTCAAAAACCTGAAACCACACAAAGCCCCAGGCCCAGACGGCTTCACAGCAGAATTCTATAAGAAATTCAAAGAACCCTTGATGCCCTACATGACCCGCCTATTCAACGACATCATAAAAGGGGGCCCCATCCCCAAAACCTGGACCCACTCCAAAATAGTCTCCATCCCAAAACCACTAAAAGACAGCCTCAAAGTAGAATCATACCGCCCAATCTCATTAATAAACCAAGACTACAAGATATTCACATCAATCTTGGCCAACCGCCTAAAAATCTTCCTACACAAGTTAATAGCCCCAGACCAGACTGGCTTTGTCCCTGGCCGCAATATAACAGACCCCATCAGGAAACTACT